TTTATTTATTTATTTATTATGTATACAGTATACAATATTCTGTCTGTATGTCTGCAGACCAGAAGAGGGCAGCAGACCTCATTACAGATGGTTGTGAGCCACCATGTGGTTGCCGGGAATTGAACTCATGACCTTTGGAAGAGCAGGCAATGCTCTTAACCACTGAGCCATCTCTCCAGCCCCCTACCCAGAAGCTATTGCACTGGATAACTGCTGGAAGAGGGTGAGTCAGGTTTCTTTGAGAGTTTTACTGCTGGTGAGGCAGCCACACCCCGCGGAAGGTCACACATCCAAGAATATACGGAAAGAACAAATTGGACTCAATAGGTGAAGAAACAAAAATAGAGAACACAAAGTTGGTGTGTCTGGGACAATATGATCAAAATATACTATAGGAGATCCTCAAAGAATTAATAAAAATAGGTAAAATATTTTAAAAATAAGTTTACCATTTGAATCTATAATTATAATTAATTAAAGAAGTTAGAATAACAGGCTGAACCAGTTGTTGATTCACACATAAAGTCCAATATCAGCTTGTCCTCATGGATTTGGCCTCTGTGTAAAGACCCTAATGATGGATGACATCATGGTAGGGACATGCCTGATGATATCTTGAGACAAAAGTCTGGAGACAAAGATTCGGTGGCAGAGCTCTCCTCTATAGCAACTCACGGTAGGAAAACTAACTCCAGGGCTGTCAGGATAGGTCAGTAAGTAAAGGCAGTTGCCAGACACATCTGGTGACCAGAGTTCAGCCCCTCAGAAGTCACAGAAAAGGAGAAGAAGAGGAGCAACTCCACAGAGTTGTCCTCTGGCCTCCATGTGCTAAGTGGCACATACGCACCCTTTAAGAATGGTAATAACCAAATATTGAAAACATATCTAGTTCATGTTCCGTGAGTACGACTTTACTCCCTTCTAAGGCCACTCAGACCGCTGAGGAGGTGCTGACTTTAGCAGCATCCCACTGAAGACTGAGCCTCCAGCATGGGAACTGGGAATTGGGGCGTTAGCAACACACTCAAACCATGGTGGAGAACATTGATTGACGTAAGTGGGAGGTCATGATGACTCAAACAAGGCAGAGGTAGTGTCAAATGGTCCCGTGAAGGGTGTAGTTTAACATAGAGCTGACCATCTTCACTGGTGTATTATTAAGGGATGTGTGTGAAATTAATCAATGATGACCCCAGCAGTTTTGGGTCTGGGCAACTATTAAGGGTGAAGTCCCCACCCGCTGCTGGGGAAGAATGTAAGTGGAGCACTGCTGGGTGAGATGCTGGGGGTCAGCTCAGGACCCTTGCCTCTGAGATGGTGAACGGTCCTGTAGACACCCCAGGCAGGGAACTGGATAGGTGAGCTAGAGTTTGAAAGTGAGCCTGGGCTAGAGGGGCAAGTATTAAAGTCACACACTCAGGTGCTGCGTGTGCAATCTGCTACAGGAGTGATGGGAGAGGAGCAGGGGCAGACCTGATCCCTGGACTCACAGTGGCTCTTGAAGATCAAGGGCACCACAGAGTGGTGTCACTGCTCAGAGTACAGGGAACTTTTCTAGTCCTGTAGGCAGCTTGGCAACCAGTGACCTGGTGTTGGGGCCCCTCTGATTCAGCAACATCATCCTGTCATCCAACTGTAGCCTTCATCTTCCAAACTTCAGCTCCAAGATTACAAGAGCCTGGGACCTCTTAGGGGAACTTCGTTCTTGAAGAAGGTATTTCTGGGTGCTGGAACAATACAGAGGGAGAACTTCTGTAGATTCCCCGGAGGAAGCAGTGGAGGACGAAACAGGGAATGAGACTCGCCCTCCTTTCCTGAGTCTGTACTAGCTGTCTCTCCGAGTCTGAACTCACTTCTCTTCCCAAAGCCCACTCACCTCCCACCACCATAACGTATCCTTAAAAGTACACGTTACAGCCCTTTCCGGCGGTGACGACCTCCCTACGAGAACATGCCTCTCGCAAAGGATCTCCTTCATCCCTCACCAGAGGAGGAAAAAAGGAAACACAAGAAAAAGCGCCTGGTGCAGAGCCCCAATTCCTACTTTATGGATGTGAAGTGCCCAGGATGCTATAAAATCACCACGGTCTTTAGTCATGCGCAGACGGTAGTCCTGTGTGTCGGCTGCTCCCCTGTCCTCTGTCAGCCTACATGCGGGAAAGCAAGACTGACAGAAGGATGCTCCTTCAGGAGGAAGCAGCACTGAAAAGCACCGGATTCGAGATGAGTGGGAACCATCCCAATAAACACATTTTGGTATATAAAAAAAAAAAAAAAGTACACGTTACATGTGTAACTTCTGTCTTTGGGCCTGTCTGTCACTCAGCCTTCCATTATCCTCCCTTCTCCGAAGCAGTAGAACTGGTCCACACACCTTGTCATCAGCAAGCGATTAAGGGAGGAAGAATTGAATTTGGCTCACTGTTGAAATAGGAGCAGCGGGGCTGTGTCCTGCACGGCTAGCTTTATACCTGAAATAATTACACGGAAACTGTATTCTTTTAAACACTGCCTGGCCCATTAGTTCCAGCCTCTTATTGGCTAGCTCTTACATATCGATCTAACCCATTTCTAATATCCCTGTAACACCACGAGGTGTCTTACCAGGGAAGATCTTAACCTGCGTCTGTGTCCAGTAGGAGAATCATGGCGACTCCTTCACTCAGCTTCTTTCTCCCAGCATTCTGTTCTGTTTACTCCGCCTACCTAATTTTATGTCCTATTAAAGGGCCAAGGCAGTTTCTTTATTTAACCAATGAAACAACAGATAGAAAGATGACCCTCCTCCATCAGCTCACCATTCAGGGGATTCGGGTTATTGTGGTGGGAAAGGCACGGTGACACACTCCATGATGGCTGGACCACATGGTGGATCTCCACATGTGGCCACTAGACCAGGAAGCAGAAAACAGCACCGGAAGTGGGACCAGGCAGTAGCCCTCAAGCCCCCTCCACTCCACTGTGACTCACCTCTTCCAGCACATCTGCACCTCTTAAAAGGTCCACAAGGTTCCAAGACAGCGCCACCATCTATTCACCAGGTGAACAGACATGAGTTTGCTGGGAGCACTTCCGATTCAAGCTAGAACAGCATGAGAGGGAGGGAACTGATATTTATTGTTTCCCAGAGTGCTGCAAATATGTATACATACATACATATATATGTGTGTGTGTGTGTGTGTGTGTGAAAAAACTCACATTGCCACTATATATATATATAAATATATATATATATAAATATATATAGTGGCAATGTGAGTTTTCTCTCAGAGTTTTGAAAGTCAAAGATCTAACTTAGTTAGCATATTTTCGCTCCTCCTAGGAGCTCTAGGGCACAATTTGCTCCCCTGTCTTTTCCAGGTTCTAGAAGTTTCCCATGTGCCTTGGCTATGGCCTGTTGTTCCTCTGCCATTTGATTTTCCGGTTGCATGCCATCTCCTGACTCTGGCACTCTGTCCTGTTAGCATCTCTCTCACGGCTGCACTGCGCCCACCTGGCAGTCAATCCATGATCACATTAGGCAAGTCCCTTTGCCATCTCAGGTACTTGTCACAAGTTGAGGGACTGAGACTGTGGCTAACTGAAGGTTACGTGCTGTTCCTGGTGCTTCCTAAGTGATGTGTTTAGTCTTTTGAAGATCCTCTGATGTGGACATGTGAGTCGTGTTGTGGATGAAGAGACTAGGTGGCTCTAGTGAAGGATTCGGGCTGGGAACCATGTGTGACATCTGCTCTTCTGCCTTGCCAAAACCCTATTTGAGTTTTGCGGGTCCACACAGCCCCATAGTTTAGGGTGAGCAGGCAATCCTTGAATTATTAGTCAAGTTAGGAATTTTCTGCTTTATGATAGTTTAAGAGCAGTGCTTATTTAGTGGAATTGAGACTTTCGATCTTTTCTTGAATGAGCGGTGTGCAGTGGGGCCTCCCCTTTGATGATTGGCCACAGTAACAAGCCATGGCTTCCAGATGACTGTGCTATGGGCTGAAGCAGCCAGTTCTTGACTTTCTACTATGCTGCTGAGCTAGGCTGCTCAGCCGCACACTTGTGTTAGAAGCATTTTCACTAGGATGTTGTTGGCTACCATTGGGCTATTAGGACATCACTTCATCATAAATGGAGGGGTATCTTTGTCAGCATTCTATTGTTGACAAAAGAATATTATGTTATATTACATTATATTATATTAATGCTATAACAAGATGCTGCCAACTAGGAGCTTAACAAACAAAAATATTCCTCTTAGAGCTAAAGTCTAGAGCCAAAGTGTTCTAGTAGTGGCTCCTTCTAAAGACTGTGAAGGCAAGATTTATTTCAAATCTTTCTGCATGGTTTATAGATGACTTTTTCCCTGTATCTGTTTAGGTGGTGTTTTCTGGATGTTTTGGGATGTCAGTGCCCAAACACACACACACACACACACACACACACACACACACACACGCAAGCACACTTTTTTCTCACTATGTATTCCTGACTGCCCTCAAACCCAGACTGTAGACCAGGCTGGCCTTGAATTCACAGAGATCTCTACCTTCTGAGCACTGGAATTAGAGACATAGATCACCGCACCTACACCACATCTTGTTTTTAGAATGACACCATCCTTGGATATATATTTACCATTGAATTGATACACGCTTGCCCCAAAATTCTGAGTTAAAGCAATCCTCCTGCCTACCTCAGTTTCCTCCTTGGTTTTATGGTGACTTTTCATACATGTGTGTCATTATAACCTTCTCCAATTTGTCCTCTTCCATCACTACCTTTCCCTGCCGGATGCGCATCTCTTCCGGGAGAAGCGCCCACAAACAAACCCAAAAACGTTTTACAAGCTATTGAGACAGCCCGCAGCCTGGTGAAGCTGACACTCAGAGTGAACCGTTCCACTGAATGTGAGACTCCACACATCGCTGGTGCTTTGGGAGGGACGGTTGTTGAGTTGTTGAGTCGTCTTTTTCCACTTCCCAGCTCATTGTTTCTCCGGCTCATTTCTTTTCCAGGAGAGGAGTTTGCTACTTCGTAAATGGTACGACTTAATGATGCAAAATAAGGACGACCTTGCCAAGATCATAACAGCTGAGAGTGTGAGTTCACCAGCTTGCTGCATGAGGCGGAGTCCTGGAGTGGTGAGGCCAGAGCTTGGGGAAGCGCCTGGCTTCCCCGACTGGTGTCCTGCCACGCGGTCCTTTGATGACAAAGGGACTGGGTCATCATGGTGCTCAGAAAACACATTTGCGGAAACAAAATTTATGTGCTCTAGTGTATTTGTTGCTAATTTGCAAAAAATAGATTTGGGGGCTGGAGAAATGGCTCAGCAATTGAGACCGTGAACTACTCTTGCAGAAGACCCAAGTTCAGTGCTCCAAGCTTGCATCACGCAGCTCACAACTGCCTATAATTCCAGCTCCAGGGGATCCATTGCCTCTGACCTCTATGGACACCTGCACTTGTGTGCACACACAGCCCACAGACACACACAATTAAAAATAACAACAATAAATATTTATGAAATAGGTTTATTTAGAGCTATATGAACAATGATTTTTAATCACTCCAGTTTTTTTATTTTTTAAGATGTATGCTATTATTAATTCATGTATATGTATATATGTACATGTAAGTGCAGACAAGACTGGACTAGGGCTTTAAATTTCCTAGAACTCGAGTTACAGATGGTTGTGAGCCACCATAATGGTGCTAGGAATCAAACCCAGGTCACCTGGAAGAGTAGTAGCCAGTACACTTAGCCTCTGAGCCATTTTTTATATAATATTTTTTATTTATTGATAATTTCATACATGTATACAATATATTTGTATTCTATCAGTTTTCCTTTTCCCCAACTCCAACTTCCCTTTGACCCCTTCAGCGTTTCCTCTGCCAATTCCATGTCCTCTTAATTTTACTTTTGGTAACTTTAGTCCAGCTAGTACTAGTCATGGGTGTGAGGCCATGCCCTGGGGTATGGGCAACCTACAAGTGGCCAGCCCTTCAGATAAACTACTGGAGGCTCTCCCTTCCAATAAAAATTACTGCCCCTCCCCCACCAGCCATCAACTACTTATATCTCCTCAGCTAGCACTAGGGGTGTTGGAATTTCGAGTGGCTTGATCTTGTGTTGTTAACTTCAGCTGCTGTGACCCAATTATTTTCTTCTATTTGCCCGTTTTTTATTTTCTCATTATTATTTATTTGTTTGGTTTTGATTTTTTGAGACAGGGTTTCTCTGTAGCTTTGGAGCCTGTCCTGGAACTAGCTCTTGTCGACCAGGCTGGCCTCGAACTCACAGAGATCCGCCTGCCTCTGCCTCCCAAGTGCTGGGATTAAAGGTGTTTGCCACCACTGCCTGGCAAGTCTTTTCTCATTATTTTTAAGTTTGTAAATTGCACCATTAGTTTGTTCACAGAATAAGAGATTTCACACCACAATTTAGTGTTTGGGAAGCCTTAGACTATGCAGTGCTCCATATCCACCCCTACTGAGAGCATATGCCGATGGCTGTTCTTACGGCATCTTTTCAAGCCTAGGACTGCACCAGTGGGAATCATTTCCCAGCAGCCTCTGAGCTTTGATACAGGAAACTTTTCCTCTTCTTGCATCTTTGAATAACAACAACAACAACAACAACAAAGAGCTGTTCTTTTCTCTTTTCCCTTTTCTTTTTTAGAAGGCAATACGCATGACCTTTTCTGGTTTGATTTAGGGAAAGCCGCTGAAAGAGGCCCAGGGAGAAATTCTGTATTCTGCCAGTTTCCTGGAATGGTTCTCAGAGGAAGCCCGTCGTGTTTACGGGGACATCATCTACACCTCTGCCAAGGATAAACGGGCGCTGGTCCTCAAGCAGCCCATTGGTGTGGCCGCAATCATCACTCCGGTATGTAGTGAGACCAGCACGATCCAGGGTGGGAGCCTGGGTAGAGCGGAGGGAAGCAGTGTCCTCTTCCTGGTGAGCAGGTGTGGCCATCTGGCTAGCTTTGCCACCTGTCCGTGGTTTCCTGATTCCTTTCCTGGATGTAGAGTGTGTTTCCACATTCTCTGTGACAGTGCCGGATGTACTGGCCTAAGTGGCCGTGCATGTTTTCTGATGCCTTCAAAAGCAGGGTGACCTGCGGAGGCTTTTCTGACTTGGCATAGAGACTCCATCCTGGTATTGCCGAGCTCCTCTGAAAAGACCTTTGAAATTGTGTTATTTTTAATGGACTTCAAAGGGGACATTTTCTCTTTTTTATTTGTACCATTATTAAATACGTTTACCCTGTGATTATCATCAATAGCAAAACATTTGTGCTTCTGTGGGCAATCACAGGGGCAGGTTGTAGAGCTCCAAGAACTGTGAATTAAGCTGCTGCCTCTGCCCAGGTGGGTTTGCAGTACACGGCTGCGCACCAGCTTCCTCTCACCAGCCCTTCCTGGAGGGGCTTGGTGCCAACTTCTCTCCAGGGTTCGCCAGCTAGTATCAAGGCTGCTGGCCTCTCCTGTTCAGAACAGTTTTAGATAGAGTTCTCCTTGCTTCCTGGACTGATGAAGCCTTCCTTGAAGTTCACGATTGCTGGTCATGTGATCATATTGCTGCCTCAGTTTCCCCAAATCTGCAAATGGGAATAATAATAACAATGAGCTCATTGAGGTTTCAGAAGGATTTAGGTCACTGGCATTTCAAAGGACTTACAGCAATACCTGAGACAGAATACACGCTACCTGAGAGTTTGTTAAAATAAGTTTCTGCAGAGCTGGAGAGATGGCTTCTCTTCCAGAGGATATGTTTCCTTCCCAGCGCCCATACCAGATAGCTCACAACTACCTGTAATTCCAGCTCCAGGGAATCCTGTGCCTTTTTCTGGCTTCCTTAGGCATGTACAGACATATAACATACATATACATGCATACACATAAATAAGTGAAATTATTAAAGGTCTGTATATATCTATTTCCTATAAATATGTGTGTGAAAGGAAGTCACCAGCCATTTTCAAAGTCACATCATGAATACTTAAAGAGCCTCAAACCAAATCTAACTCAGCTCCTCTGTTTATAAATAAAGTTTTATTAGTGCACATGGGGTCCATTTCTGAGCCAATCTTTATGAGCAACTGCAGAGATGCAAAGTTGTGACAGAAACTCTACATCCTACAAAATGTGGCTCCCACAGAACACATTGGTCTAGATTTGTACTGTATCAAACTCCCAGACTGTACCCTGCTTCTGTGAACTTTGACCTCCCTGAGTCCCTCCAACTGTCCAGGGTCAGGTGTTCTGAAGCACAGCAGCAAACAGGCTTGCCAGTCAGTTATGCAATGGAGTCATGGCTGCCCCTGGTGAGCCTCCTATTGAATCCTGGAGCAGTCTCACATCCTCCCTTTGTTCTTCCAGTGGAATTTTCCTAGTGCCATGATCACCCGGAAAGTGGGGGCCGCCCTGGCAGCTGGCTGCACTGTGGTGGTGAAACCTGCCGAAGACACGCCCTACTCTGCCCTGGCCTTGGCGCAGGTGAGTTTCCCTCGGTGCAGCACCAACCAGGCTCAGGTGCATGCTTCTCAGGGACAGGAAGGAGCCTTTTTGGCATTTCCTCCTCTGCCCGTGTCTCCTGCTGCGCACAGAGCGTCTGTCTGGGCCCACCAGCAGCTGCTCCACAGCTCACACTGCTTTCTTTAGTAGAAAAGGGGAAAGGAGGGGAGATTGTCAGCTTCCTGTCTCGATACCCTAAAGGTGATGTTGATACATCATCATTTTCATTGCACTTCAAATGTGGGTGTTTCTCACATTTAGGAGCTTTCTTGTACTTTTTAAATTTTATTTTATTTATTTATTTTTGGGGGATTTTTTTTTTTTTTGACGCAGGGTTTTTGGAACTTACTCTGTTGAGCAGGCTAGCCTTGAACTCAGAGATTCACCTGCCTCTGCTGGATGAAAGGCATGTACCACCACCATCACTCAACTTTCTCTCTCTCCCTCCCTCCCTCTCTGTGTGTGTGTGTGTACATATATATATATATATATATATATATATATATATGTGTGTGTGTGTGTATATATATATACATATATATATCTTTAAAATATTCTTTGGTTTTTTACTATTTTTAAAATCTTTTTATGTGTATGTTTGTGTTCTGTGTGAGTGTATACCATGTTCACGCAGTGCCTGCAGAGGCCAGAAGAGGGTGTTGGCATCCCTGGAGCTGGAGCTACAGGTGCTTGCGAGCTCCCTGATGTGGGTGCTAAAAACCTACTCCAGATCCTCAGGGGAAGCAGCCGGTGCTCTGAGCCTCTGAGCCATCTCTCCAGCGCCAAGCTTCCTTATTCATTACTCCTGGTCCTAGTTCTGTCTGTATTAAGTCGAATCTTTATTTTTCTGCTTAAGCCTCTCAGGTGGCTTCACATGTCACTTGGAGTGAAATACAGATTGGCTGCAGGGGTCTCTGCCACCTTCCAAACTTGGCTTCCCTTGAGCGCCCCTTGTTCTTCTGTTTAAGTCCCCCTGGCTCCTGCTACTCCTCATATCCTGCCAACCTCACCCTCAACTGAGTTATCGAACAAACATTTTCTTCCGGAACACTCTTCCCCAGATGTTCCCTTGACATTATGCACTATTACTGTGTATACATACATGATGAGGGGACAGACACACATGCTACGGCACTCATGTGGAGGTCAGAGGACAGCTCTGTGGGGTCCATCCTCTCCTTCCACCTTTACGTGGGCTCCAACGTAGATCTGCAGGCTTCACAGCAGCACTTTACCCTCTGAGCACCGTGCCAGCCCACTTCGTGTCCTTCTGCTCCACACTTACAGAAATGGGGAAAGAATCTAGCATGTACTCAGCCTCCCCTGCTGTTACTGAAGAAATGAAGGGACATGTCACCCGAAAGGGATCCCCTTAGCATATCAGGTACTTTGAGATGCAGAAAATGTTCTTTCACGAAGAGCCACCCAGCCTGACTTTTGTACATGTAACAAGCCAGGAAGGTGCTATTTGGAAGGAGCGCTTCACCCTGGGAAACCTCAGGGTCGCAGGAGACTGAAGCATGAGACTGTAGCGAGCCAGAGTAGTCAGACGGTGAAATAACTGTATGAGTTTCTGTGGCCCTCCAGCCCCCAGTTGTCTCTCTATAACATTCCTAAAGCACTCTGTCCTACCCAGAGATCCACACGTCCTGCATTCCCTCACACATCTACTGTTCTTTGTCTGAAGAGCATGCACATAACTTTTTCAGAAGTTACTGGCTTCTGACAGTCGCTGTACGCATATAAATTTGCTATAACTTCTATGCTTTTCTTTTGTCAGCCAACTTTTGTATTTACTGGGATTCTACATCCAGCCAAAGAATTCACATAAGAACTAGATTTCACTGGTCTGGTGGTACGAGCCTCGTATGCCAGCTACTCAGGAGGCTGGGGCAGGAGATTCCAAAGGTTAGGGCTAGCCTGGGCAACTTAGAGAAATACTGTGGTTATTTGGATGGAAGGATCCCCAACAGGTTCGTGTGTTTGAATGTATGGTCCCAAACTGATGGAGCTACTTTAGAAGGTTGTGGGGACTTGAGGAAGGAGGCCCCCAATGGAGGAAATGTGTCGCTGGGCGTGGTCCTCAAGGTTTTTTAGCCTGGCCCCACTTCCTGTCTGCTGTTCTGCTTCTGTGGACACAGTGTTACCCGAGCTTTTGCACCCATGCCCTCCCTGCCGTGATGGTCTGCATCTCATCTTCAACCATAGCCAAGATAAACCTACCCCCCTCAAACCACTTCTTGTTGGGAAAAGCAATTAGTGATAGTGATGGCCAAATCTCGAAATAAAATGTGAAGCTGGAGATATAGCCCAGTGGTAGAGTGCTTGCTTAGCAAGCATGAGGCCATGGGTTCAATTCCCGGTACAACAGGAACGCGCTTGCTCTGCCTTCTCCTTCTCCCTCCTTCTTCAGACTTAGTTCTGCTAGGAGCGGTGCTTGGCACAGCACTAATACTCGGATGACACCTCTCTGCTTGTTTTGTTCTTGAGCCTTTGTGTTAGCCAGCTTTCTGTCACTATGATGAAATGCCTGAGGTAACTGCTTATGAAGAGGAAAGGCCTGTTTCATTGCTAGGTTTTGGAAGCTCCAGTTGATGATCCCTGCTCCTTTGTGCCTATGGTAAGGCGCCACATCACGGTAGGAGCAGTGTGGCCAGGCAGACTGTCCCACCTCCCAGCCAGGAAGCGAGATAAAGTGGAAAGGTTTGGTTCCTCAATGCCCTTTGGTGGTGTCTGCACTACTTTTCTCATTGCTGTAACCAAATGTCTTACAAAAAATTGGAAAGAGGCTGGGGGCCAGCCTCGACAAAATACCTTTCTTCTAGAGTGGAGGCGTGGGAATTTAGAAATATAGTAAAGAATGCAAAGATGCGAACAAAAATAATAAAATGCAGAAACACATAGTATAGTATTGGCTTGTCTCTTAAAAGAGACAGAAAACCATAACAATATTGGCTTATGGGTATTGTTTTTATGAGACTAGTAAGGTTAAAAACCTGGGAAGCTACTCCAGTAATCTCAGCACTGGTGAGGGTGAGGCAGGAGGATGACCACCGGTTTGAGGTCAATGAGGGCTACAAATAGAGACTCTGAGTCAGAGGTACAGCAGATTCAGGACGTACTCCATCCAGGGTCCTTCCTCGGAAAGGCCCAGGTTCCCAGGTCAGGTGGTTGGAGGGGGTTGCTTCACCCACACCCACCCCCCGCCCTCATCTCTGCTGAGTTCCTCTTGTCTATGCCTCCCTTTCTTCAACTCTGCCCCACAAGGAACTAGCAAGTCTACCCTGAAGTCTACAGTCAGTCAGAGTTCCTTGAGGTTAGTTAGTCTCAGAAACTTCATGAAAAGCCCAGGTCTGTTGGTGGACTGAACAGGAGGTGGCGCTAAAACTCTTACCCAAAATGCTGTATTTAGGGATACCTAATTGAGATACTTAGCTTATACGTGTGTATTCAGGGGGTTAGGAGTGTAGCTTAGGGTAGAGTCGTGCTTAGTAGGATGAGACTGTGGATTTATTCCTTAGCATATGTATGTGTATGTATACGTATATACAAGTCATTCATATACATACGTGTATATGTGGACCTGCAATAAGGTTTTATTGGTGCTGATATTAATATATATTAATTTTATTACATTTATTTGTCTCTCTCTGTGGTGTGTGTGTGTATGTGTGCACCCGAGTATGTGTGGAAGTCTATATCCAAATAAGAAAAGGCATTGGATACCCTGGAGCTGGAGAATGATAAGTTGTGGGTGATTGGAACTAAACTCAGGTTCTCTGGAAGAGCTGTACATGTTATAATCACTGAGCTGTCTATCTGGTCCATAATATATATTTTGGGGAGCATAGGGTCTCCTATAGCCCAGGCTGGCCTTGAACTCACTATGTAACTGAGAATGACCTTAAGTTTGTGATCCTCTTGCCTCTACCTCTGAAGAGTAGGGGTTATAGACACGCACCCATATCTGGTTCACCTCGGTATGTTTTTATTCTATTCAAAGGCAAGCTTATATTTTACAGTGTGTTCTGGACTAACCATGTTTATTTCTGATTCTGTTTGTTTTGCTTTCCAGTTCAATCCATGTTATAGTGTGTTTGCTATTTCTCTTTAAAGCTTGCAAACCAGGCAGGAATTCCTCCAGGTGTCTATAATGTCCTTCCCTGCTCTAGAACCAAGGCCAAGGAAGTGGGAGAGGCGCTATGTACCGATCCGCTAGTGTCCAAAATTTCTTTTACTGGCTCAACAGCAACAGGAAAGGTATGTGATGTCAGAGTCAGACAAGTGTTGTAATGCTTTCTATGTACAGAGTATGAAATTACTATTTTATGTTTTGGTTTTGTTTTAATTGAAACAAGGTCTACATAGCCCTGGCTGCCCAGGTACTTGCTATGAAGACCATAGTGGCCTTGAACTCACAGAAACCCACTTGTCTCTGTCCCCCAAGGGCTGGTACTACAGGAATGTACCACCACACCTGAACTGTCATGTAAGTTTAGAATTGGTATTAGGGTTCAAAACTCAAGACAGTGTTGGCGTTGTTACCTTTGGCAGTGTCCCAGCTCATAGCATTACTGACTCCTTCCTCGCCGTCAGTAAATAATTGCTTTTAGTTTCCTACTACCGTCCTGGTGGAGTCTTTTTTAATTGAATCTAATGAGATAAGAGTCTGTATTCTCCAGAATACATTTTACTCATGTATGGAACTCTCAAAGAATATATATATATATATATATTCATTATAAATTATAAAGAAATATATTCTCATGTCTCCCCTTTCTTATATAAAATGATATATAAAGTAAGGTGACCTTGCATACACCTTAAATTTTTTATTATTGGGGTAATTTTGTAAAACAAATTGGTTTAAAAAATTGTAAAACAAATTGGTTAATTTGTTTTACAATTTTTTTAAGCAATTTGTTTTTTTGTTTGTTTGTTTGTTTTTTGGGTTTTTTTTTTTTTTTTTTTTTTGGTTTTTCGAGACAGGGTTTCTCTGTGGCTTTGGAGCCTGTCCTGAAACTAGCTCTATAGACCAGGCTGGTCTTGAACTCACAGAGATCCACCTGCCTCTGCCTCCCGAGTGCTGGGATTAAAGGCGTGCGCCACCATCGCCTGGCTTTTTGTTTTGTTTTTAAAAAGGTTTAGCAGCCTTAGTTTTCTGTTGTTACAAAATACATGAGAAAGATAACTTAAAGGAGGAGGGAATGATTTGTGGGATGTTTTGGAGGTTTCAGGCCATGGTCAATTGGCTCTGTTGCTCTTAGCCCTACAATGAGGCAGAAGCATCATGGCAGGAGGCATTGATGAAGAAGAGCTACTCACCTTATGGTGACCAGGATGCAAAGAGAGAAGAAAGGTCCAGGACCAGATACAGCCTCCAAACACGTTTGTTTGCCCATGACCTCCTTCCTGAGCTAGACCCCAGCCCCCAGGAATAGCGCACACAGCTATGAACTCCTCCTGTCTAATCAGCTATCAATGGGACCATCAGCTGGTGACCAAGTTTTAAACAGCAGGGAGAAAGGTACTTTCTAGGCAAACAGTCACACCCTGTAAGTTGATCTGGATGCTCACAGTGTTCTCCCGCTGCACCCCATGCAGGTCCTGCTGCATCATGCAGCAAATTCTGTGAAACGTGTCTCCATGGAGCTGGGCGGCCTCGCCCCATTCATTGTCTTCGACAGTGCCAACGTGGACCAGGCTGTCGCGGGAGCCATGGCATCTAAGTTTAGGAATGCTGGCCAGGTGAGTCATGCAGAATGTTCCAGGGCTGGAATTAGGGTGTGTGTTTTACAAAGACCCTAGCACCACCATGGCCTTGCCTCTCTCCCGGGTTCCTTTGTTAGTTCATGCACTCATTCTGTGAGCAAACATTTAACGAGTAGTTTCTCTCAGGTACTAGTTAGGCTTCTATTGTCCAAAGAGATGTAAGAGATAGTCTGTTGCTTCAGAGAGTTTCGAGAATTGCATATCTTTATTTATGTACATGTGTGTGATGTATGTGTATGAATACACATGTGTGTAGGCCCATGACCATTCTGAGCATGTGCAGAAGCCAGAGGAGGATGCCTGGTACCCTACTTAGTTGTCTTGAGGGAATGGGGGAGCTTACGCTTTCCTAGGAAATCCTAGATGTCAGATTTGACAGGCACCTTCAAGACTTCTGGTATAAACCTAGGAGCTGAAAGCAAAAAGAATGAGTGACTTGGATCATCCTCAGAGTCCCAGAGGTGGGAGCCAAGGGTCCCATTTCCATGATGTTGCTCTAGCCACTGCCAGAAGCTGGCTGCTTAAGACATACTCTTAGACAGCCAACCATATTCTTAAACCAAAGTACAACCAACAAGTCGAAGATCACTGGCTTTTATTTTTTGAACAGACAGGAACTCCCTGTGTAGCCCAGCCTGACACTGAGCTTGCTCTGTAGCACAGGGCATCTGGGGAACTCAACCCTCCTGGAATTAAAAGGCTTGTGCTGCTATGTCCAGCCCAGTGAGCTGTTTAAATGCTTTCCTGAGATAAATAGCCTCAAAGGGTTATGTGTGAAAAGGGAGGTTAGTGGTGCAAACTATTCTGTATAGCTTTTCTTCCTTTGGGAATTCATTTTCCCTTTTCACATAACCTAAATAGTTTTTGTTGTTGTTTATTTTACAGAATTAGAAATTTTTTAAAGTAAACACAAAATGTCAGCAGAGTTTTACTACAGAGCAATGGTGTAAACTGTGCTAAACCAATAAAAATGCAAATAATACAGTTATAGGTGTACTTATTTCTTCTAGGAAAACACAATAAGGAAAAACCAATTTATCAATGATAACTACATTTTCTATAGTATAGTTATGTTTTATCATTTTAAAATATGAAGTCTACTTGAACAAATAATAAGCCAATCTCAATAATTTAAGATAGCCTTTAAAAAAAAGAGATTTTATTTTTTATTCACAAATATTCAGCCAATAAACTTTCTAAAGTTGCAAATTTATGAGCTTCCAAAAAAGATTAATATTTTGTTTTATAAGTGTAAATGTTTACTTGCATGCATGTATGTACACTATGTGTGTGCCCAGTGTCCCAGAGGCCAGAAGAGAATATCTGAGCCCTAGAACTGTTGTGAGCTTCCATGTGGGTGCCAGGAACTGAACCTGGGTCCTATCGAATACTCCTAACCTCTGAATCACCTTTCCGGGTTCAGTTTGTTTGTTTGTTTGTTTGTCTCTTTTGTTTTGTTTTGTTTTGGCGGTGCTAGGAATAGAACCCATGGCCTACATATACCGGACAAGCAATCTACCACAAAAATTTATCCCCAGTCTTTTTTTATTATGATTATTTTTAATTATGTGTATAAATGTGTGTCCACGTGTGACCAGAAGAGGGCATCAGATCCTGTAGCCTCTGAATTACAGGCAGGTGAATCTGCCAGCATGGGCGCTGGGAGGTCCTCCTACAAGAGCAGTAATAACTGTGGAGCCATCTCCCCTGCCCCAAAAGAAAGGCTTCGTATCAATTTTTGAAATCACAGTTTCAGCAGAACACTTGGAAGGATTGAGCTGGAGGGTATGTGTTATTGTTTGACCCCATTCCTTCTAGCCTGTGCTTGCCGCTGCTGCATCCCTGTCCATCAGGAACGTTACGACCTTTGTCCTTTGACCCCATCTGCTCTCTGAGAGTGTAGTGAATGGCTCGTTTTCTGGTTACCTGGGTTTTGTTCACACAGCTGTTTATTCTCGCTGATATGTTTAGCTCTAGATGGTGGTAGCTATGGGAAGACCTGGACAGGTATGTTCACTCGGTGCATGTATTCTCCACCTGGGGACAACGTAGAAGACAAGACTCGTGAGAACCATTTGGGAAGGGTTAACTTACGTTTCTTGGATCAGTCGATTCTGAAAAACTGTGGGTTTGTTTTGTCTTCTGTCTAGACTTGTGTTTGCGCAAACAGATTCTTGGTACAACGGGGCATCTATGATTCCTTTGTGAAGAAGTTTGCAGAAGCCATGCAGGAAAGCCTGCGTGTGGGTAACGGATTCGAGGAAGGAATAACTCAGGGCCCATTAATTAATGAGAAAGCAGTAGAAAAGGTGAGTTGGTCTTATTACCTGCTTTTTTTTGTGATGTCAATATCAAAAGATGTCAGTATCAAAAGTTAAATAAAGGTGTTTTCATAAGGTCCCTGGCAAGGCTGTTTTGAAAATAATGGGAAAAATAAAAAAGATTAAAAAATTTTTTTTTTACCACTACCAATGTGTAGGATTGGATGGTGGTGTCTGGACATGCACTTCCCACCTCTACCTGACATCAGGTCTTCTGCCCTCCCTAAGTTTTCTGTCATAGAAAGTTTTTCCCCTGATGTCCTTCCAGAAGAATTCTAACGAAGGCACCCAGAAGAGGCACAGAGAGTCCCGGGCGTCCCGCTAAGTGATGACAGAGGGAAGTCACTTTTAGGAAGGAATTGTTTGTGGAACATCACAGTTTGGGTGACCAGCAGGGTGAGGTTTCTCTTTGTTACACTAGAGTTAGTTTGGCTTTAGCTTCATTCTTATTACGTTTATTGACTCTGTGTGTCTGAGCGTGAGTATGGGGGAGCAGGGCACATGGATGCCACAGCACAGCTGTAGATGTCAAAGGACAAATTGCTGGAGTCCTCTCTTCTACCGTGTGGGTCTCAGGGACAGAACTTGGGTTCTCAGGATCGGCAGGGAGCACAATTACCTGTCAAGCCACCTTACCAGCCCTGGTTTTAGCTATTTTGGTTTGCTTAAGTTATCATTAAAATTAATTCATTAATTCATACTGGTGTTTTCGTACATATATTTCATTATACTTCATTCTTACCTCCTCCCTGGCTCCCCTCCTCCCAGCTCCCTCCTTATTCATTCCTTTCCCCCAAGTAGTCCCCACTCTGCTTTTATATCACATATGTCCCATGTTTTCTTCTCTTGTTTTTTTTTTTTTTTTAATCTTTCTAAGAGCCAGAAAGTGAAGGAGCCAGAGGGGTGGCTTAGAGGTCAAGAGCTCTCACCACTTTTGCGAGCTCACAGGCAGTTATAAACTACTCAAAATAGGTGCAAGGAACCAAACTAGAGCCTTCTGAAAGAGAAGCAAGTGCTCTTAACCACTGAGCTATCTCTACAGATTCTCGCTAATGTCTTTTGATTGTGGGCTTTCTCTTAGGTGTGATTTGATCGTGAGTTGCTCTGTTCATCCTTGCCTTTGGAGCGGTAGGCTGTACCATATCTAGCCTGTACACACAGCGTATAGACTAGGTATGCAGTGTGCTAGGCCATCTGGGTTTGTATCAAAGCACTGTATGATGTTTGTTCAATAGTGAAATTAGCTAAGGGCACATTTCTGAGACAGAACATCTGTCGTAGGTAAGCAATGCCTTTGTATTGGCAATGTATCTAAACATCCCTTCAACCCAGATAAAAGTGGACAAGTGAACCTAAGGAAGTGCAAGTAGCCCAGCTTGCAGCAAAGGCAAAGCTAATATGTATATAGTTTTTGCTGTTTAACATTTGAAGAGATTGTACAGTTTAGAAAATGTCCTCATGCCGCCTTACCTAGTGCCCCTCTCATCTCACAGGTAGAGAAGCATGTGAAAGACGCGGTTGGCAAAGGGGCCACCGTTGTGACAGGCGGGAAGCGACACCAAAGCGGGGGAAATTTCTTCGAGCCCACCTTGCTCAGCAATGTCACCAGGGACATGCTCTGCATCACTGAAGAGACCTTTGGGCCGCTGGCGCCGGTTCTCAAGTACGGTCCTTCATAGTGGAAGGGAGGAGGAGACTGGAAAGGGGGAGCCGATCTAAGAGCAGTTTCTGCCGTTTGAAGGGTGGGGTGGGAGGACTGAGCCACGCAGTCGGAGCTGCGCTGTATCAGTTGAGTTTATAACATTTTGGATTTGATTTTTGTGGTTGTGGGTCAGCCCTGGGAGCTGTTTCTTGGGAGCTTAGATATTTAGTTAGGGTCCCTCACTGGAACCTGGGGCTCCCCAGTTAGAGCAGACTGGTTAGCTAGCAATTCCGGGGATCCTTCTGTGTCTGTCTCCCCAAACCTGGGATTATAAGCACTGGCCACCACAACTGGGTTTTCACATTGATTTGGGGGTCAAACTCAGCACTTCACCAACAGAGCCAGATACCTCCCAAGTCCCTAGTCCCAGTTTAGGTGTTTGAGTTTTGTCTTTGTAACCCAGCTTGCCTTAGGCTCTCAACCTTTTTGCCTTAGCCTCCTGAGTGTTGAGATAATAGGCGTACACCATACCCAATTTCAAGCACAAAATTCATCAGACTCCTTCATTTAGTTTCTTGCTACCTCTAAATGTACTTTTTTCCCCTGATGGAGCGTACCTTCCAGGTTCTCTCATAGCAGTCTGAGGGAAATGAACTCTGAGCTCGTGTGATCTTTTATCCCACCTTACCAAGTAAATAATAGTTTCCCTGGATAATTCTCAGGTCATTGCTCTGAAAATACTTCTCTATCTATTTGGATCCAGGGCCTGGAAGGGCTCAGAAGAGAGCATCAGATCTCTGGGACTGGAGTTACCAATTGTGAGCCACCATGTGGATACTGGGAATCAAACCCAGGTCCTCTGCGAGAGTAACAAGTACACTTACGAGCCAGCACTCCAGCACCCAGTAGTCTTTCATATTTGCGTCTGTGTGTGTGTGTGTGTGTGTGTGTGTGTGTGTGTGTACACTACTACCCAGTAGTCCTTAGTCCTTTTCTTAAAAGATTTTAACAGTGCCTCTACCAAGTTGGTCTGTCTTTCCCATTCTCTTAGTAAAAATGGGCCATGTTGACTAACCGTGCCTTTGAGGAGACTAAGTTGCCATGTCTGCATTTGAACTCCATTCATGCAATCTCCCCCTTGGATCCCTTTGCAGCTCTGATCTCCTTCTCGTCGTTATTTAGGAAATGAATGCAAGAAAATAATGCTGGCTGTCTTTATTCTCCACCTTACAGTCTTGCTTATGACCTACCTTAACTCTGGCAGGTTTGACAAAGAAGAAGAGGCCGTTGCCATCGCAAATGCAGCTGATGTTGGATTAGCAGGTGGGTGTCTGTCTCCAGCCACCACAGTAAATGTCAGGTTCTGCCTTTTAAGTATTACTCTCGAGTTTGTGTGTGTTTTCTTCTGTCGTTGAGACAAGGCCTCGCTATGTAACCCTGGGTTGCCTGGACTTTATATAGACCAGATTGACTTTGAACTTCAGAAATCTACCTGCTTCTGTCTCAGAGTGCTGGGGTTAAAGGCATTCACCACCTTGCCTAGCAAACTTACACAATGTGTATGCTTTATTTCTTTACAAGTGGCAAGTGTGGCCATGTGCCAACACGTTTCTTTCTCCTGTGTCTCATGACACACATGTAGAGTGTTCTGGCTAGAGCTGAGAGTGGGAGACAATGGGGAGGGTGCAGCTTGTTCTTGGTGGAGAGTCCCATGTAGTTAGTTTCCCAGAGGCATAACGAATGCTCAATGCTTTTTCTCACATTTGCCTGGCCTTGGTATTCTGAAGAAACCTAATCAGCAGTATCTAGAGATGAGAATGTGTGTGTGTGTGTGTGTGTGTGGTCACTAGGTCGCTGCTGTGTTAGCAGTTTGGAGATGATACTGAGAAACTATACATGTTGGCCCTGGGTACAAATACAGAACTGTGGGGTACAGAGCTATAATATATAATCTTCTGGCCTTTTGGCTAAAATCAAGTATAGAGACACAAGTAAGACACAGCTGTAGCCTTCTAGAGACTCTCGTGGGTATAATGCAAGCTGTTTAGAAGGAGAGGAGGACAAGCGTGCTAGGGAGCTGAATATGCGCTATCACATAGTTGTCCTAATGCTGGAGCAACGCGTAGCCCATGGCTTCTGCGAGTTCAAGATCAACACTTCCTTCTTCCTTTTTCAGTGGAGTGATGTGCAGGAAGTTCTGCCTTGCCTTGGGTCCTAAGTGATAAGTAAGATGCTGACTTTGCAGAGATTAAGGAGGTTGAGGCAGAGGAGCCCAAGCAAGTTCAGGTGCAGCCTGGTAATAAGTGAGATGTCCCTGAACTAGATGGATGAGTTTGGAGACAGAGTCGGGAGTAGGCTGCTGACTGAAGCCACTCTAGGGGGCAGGGTTGACTGTCCACTAAGAAACGTGTCTCTTTTATAGACAGCTAGGACTGATCTCAAGGTCTGAACAGACATGTTGTCCAGATATCTAGAGGAGGATGGATTGAAGAGCACAGACGTTCCTGGTTACAAAGTCCTGGTGGGAGTGGGGAGAACCCCAGCAAGAGAGAAACAGAAGCTCAACATGGTGCCCAAGGTTCCTAGGATGAAAATGTGGGCAAAATAGCCTGAGGCTTTACTTGCAAGCAGGAGAACCCAGGCACATGTGACTGGGCAGCCTCAAAGGCAAGCACATGCGACTGTCACAAGAATTCTTCATGTTGTATGTGTTCTTGTTCTTCTGCTAGGGTACTTTTACTCTCAAGACCCAGCCCAGATCTGGAGAGTGGCGGAGCAGCTGGAGGTGGGCATGGTTGGTGTGAATGACGGACTGATCTCTTCAGTGGAGTGTCCCTTCGGTGGGGTGAAGCAGTCTGGCCTTGGGCGAGAAGGGTCCAAGTACGGCATTGACGAGTATCTAGAGGTCAAGTATGTGTGCTATGGAGGCTTGTAGGGCTCTTCGCTTCTCCAAAAAATAATAAAACCACCTAGATCTGTAGGGACCTGCCATCCACTTTTTAAAATAAACAAGTAGGTTATCAGAGTTATGAATTTTAAAAAAATTCAGCCAGTCTTCATCATCTTAGTTGTAAATTCTCATCCTGCCCGTATATAACTAGGGACCAATAGATGCCATATACCTGTGCCCACAGCACAACCCCACTGCCTCGGGACAAGGTACAGTGTGAGTGCTCACGTGTCCCTGCCCCTCACAAAGTGTAGTCACTGTGTGGACAGTGACTCCGCCGTCCCCAGGCGACTGCCCAGCTTGGGCCCAGAAGGCTGGGAAGGAAGTGCTGGGGTGATAGACATTTGGACAGGGGTGGTTCACATCCGGGCCTGGGCATCTGTCAGCTTGGTAATGAACAGCTGTGACAAAGGCTTTGATTTCCTAAGACTTCTTTCTAAATGGCACACGATTGTCTGTACTATATGGAATGAGGGGGTGTTTCTCTTTGTTTCTGGGCAGCTTTTCTTTCTTCTTTTTCTTTTTTTTTCTTTTCTTTTTTTTTTTTTTTTGTGAGATAGGGTTTCTCTGTGTAGCCCTGGCTATCCTGGAACTTGCTCTGTAGACCAAGCTGGCCCTGAACTCAGAGATCCACCTGCCTCTGCTTCCTGAGTGCTGAGATTTAAGGCATTAACCACCACCACCCAGCTCTGGACTGTTTTATTTTTGTTTTTGTTTTCAGTTGCTGGGAGCAGGATTTGTTTGGTTTTGTTCCGTTTTGGTTCATCTTCATTTGGTTTGGTTTGACGAGACAGGGTCTTGCTAAGTAGCCTCGGCTGGCTTCACACTCACAATTCTCCTGTTTTAGCCTCCCAAGTGCTGGGGTTTCAGGCTTGCTCTACCACCCCTGGGTAAATGGAAGTCTCCATTGCCCTAAACTTACAGCTTATGCTTCATTTTATTTGTCTTAGAAAATGAAACCGAGCTGTGGGAAAAAAATCATCAGAGGTGGTTTGGTGGGATGAAAAGCATGGCTTTTGTTTCTTCTCCAGTGCTGGGTGTTGAAGCAACGGCCTCATGCAAGCCAGCACTGAACTCTTGTCCCCAGTGGGGTTTTTTGTTTGTTTGTTTTTATTTTGTTTTCATTTTAATATTTGAGACAGGGTCTTAGTTTGTTACCCAGGCTAGCCTTGAGCTTTTTATTGAACTGCCTCAGTTTCCTGACAGGCCTGCACTGTGCAGTTCTGCTGCCTGGGCGTGCTGTGTAGGACACCATGTTCGGCTTAAAGGGCATTGTGAACCTGAACATGCAGTTTAAGCACAGGAACCCTTTGGATTATGAGCAGCACCGCCCACCTTGAGCTTGGGTGGTGGCTTTGTCGAGGGAGGAAACCAGTTGCCCACCTGATGACCTGCCTACATCTGCGCCAGGTTTTCTGTGCCTGGATACAGCTGCTGCTAAACTTCCAGAAGAGCAAAGCACTTTCATCACTGTGAAAAACGATGCCCACAATTGTCAGTCTCCTGTAGAAGAGAGCTGAAGCCATGAATCCCATGCACCTTTGCCCTAGTAAAAGCATTTGTGGTTCATGATTCAAAAACAACACACACACACACACACACACACACACACACACACACGGACCTGCAAGATAGCTTAGTGGGTAAAGGCTTTGCTAGACAAGCCTACCTACCTGAGTTCCATCTCTGAAGCCTGTGTAAAGATGGGAAGAGAGAACCAACTCCACACAGTTGTCCTCTGACCTCAACAAGTACATCAGAGGCATGCACACACATAAATTAACCACACACACACACCAACACACCAAAACTCCCTGTAACTGGGGTTGGTCTCTCTTTGAAATGATTTAAACAAGAAAAAGTCTAGGTTCTTGTAGACATCCATCTAAAACCTGTTTATTCCCAATAGGCAGTAATGGAGCTCCCTGCTCCTTGCCCCTCTCTGTGTAGAGAGCCCACTCACACTCTGTGGATGCTCTGAGATGCTGACGTGGATGATAGCAGAGCTAGCTGCAGTGACTCCTAAACACACCAAGTCCCAAGCCACTGGGAGCTTCCCCGTGCTCAGGAAGTAGAAATCTGCCTCTTAGGAGCCCACACAAGTGGCGAGAGTCACACAGCTCAGCATGTTCAGTCTGTCTGTCCTCCTCTTGTGTAGAGTGTAGTTGCTTTCTATCGCATTTCCTGACTAAAAATTTTTAATGGATGTGGGTGTTTTGCCTGCATTGGACGTCTGTGCACATGCGTGCTGGTGCCCTCAGAGGTCGGATCACCTAGAACTGGAGTTGCAGATGGGTGTAAGCCACCATGTGGGTACTGGGAAGTGAACCCCGGCCCTCTGAAAGAACAGTCCTAACATTTCTAATTTCTTAAGGTTCGTGTCCACTGTTTTTCAGTTAATCCAAATGCTAGCTGCTATTTTGTAGATGATGGGCCCACATGCTGAGCTAGGAATAGGGAGTAACTTCAAACACACTGTAAACAGTGTCAGCCGTTGGTTTGGGGGCTGTGTGGCAAATTTTTATGTTTTTGTGCATATATGACTCAATGGGTATATCACTGGCATGCACATGTGTTACAACAAATGTAATCAATTTTTGTAATTAAAATATTGGGAGCGGGGACTGGTGGTAAAGTCTGTATTAGCATGCTGGAGGCTATGGAACTAATCATCACCACTGAAAATTAAGTAAAGAAGTTCTTAGAATGGTTTGGGGTTGCGGGAAGACAATATTTTGGATATATATATAAAATCAGGAGCTATTGGCCTGGGCCCAAATGATCCTTCTGCCTTAGTCTCCCAAATAGCTGTGACTATAGGCATGTCACCAAATCAGTCAGTTTTTGTTTTTGTTTTTTTTAATTTTTAGTGGTTTCCATTGAGTTTGGGTTCACACAGTGCAAGCTCTCCTTGAAACGCTTGCCCCCTACTTCTTGTGCTGGAATTACACACACACACACACACACACACATATATATATACTAGCCTGCTAGGAAGTGTTTCTGAATGAACCTTTGTCATTGTTCACTAAGATATGTGATAGGTGGAATTTTGAAGATGTATCTACAGGCATGTAAGGACAAGTGTTGATGAAGCACAACCTGTGAGCCGAATCCTACCGCCACCTGCTTCTGTGTAACTCGGGAGTTTAAAGTATTTGATATATCCAGATGGACTGGGGTGGGTGAGAGCTAGTTCATGGAATTCCAGTGTCTGTGGATGAACACAGCCACAGTGCCCTGTGCCTGAGCAGCTTTGCTGAGACAGTGTGGCCTGCGGAACCAGAAGGATTTACTGCAAAGCTGCGAAAACATTTACAACCCTCATCTCTACCAAGAGGGAGACACTGGCCTCTGTGTTTGAGAGACATTATTCCATTCTGTTGAACGCCTCCTGTGACGAAGGCACATTTCCTGGGCATCTGTTACCAGTTCTTGGCAGTAATCATCAGATAACTCAAAGGACATTCGCCTGATAATCCTGTGCCCTTGAAAAGCACTTACTTCCTCCGGCTCGTGGGGCCTACTGAAAGTGCCAAAGTCCATCTGTGTCTTTGTCCATTCAAGGGGCTTTTCAACACAACCCCATAGAAAGCGCTTGTTTCTCTTCTGTATCTTTGTTCTTTGGGACTCGGAGAAAATAAAGATCAGACGCACAATGTAAACAAGCCTATTTGATGATGTCATAACCTTCAAAATGGGTCCCTTGAGCTTGCCTCTCTGGAGGCTGGGTCCCAGTGTTTTAATTACCCCCATATGCAGCTATTTAAAAACAGAATTTTACTTGAATAATACTTAATACTGTGATTGTTTTATGCCATACTTTGTGAGAAAAACCTTAGAAATTGATGAGAAATATTTTGCTCTGTAAACATGCATATGATGACTCTTTTTTTCTAGTGTTTGACATTGGTCAACAGAGTTGAATCTCTTAATAAATGTTGAACTAACAGGACTTTTGTCTCTGCGTTGCAGTGGCTGTGTTGTTTTTGCTTTTTTTCTACACCAGATCATTGTTGAGGAACTTTTTTTAATCATTTGAGTTTAACTGGATAGTGTTAGACCAGTGGAGATGTAACTTGTACTTCCTCTAACCAGGCCACAATCCACCGCCCCAGAGAAGCTAGGATCTAGGAGGACCCTAAGAGGGACCTGCATGGATGGCAAGATCTCCTGGGGAGGGGGCAGTAATGGAGTGAGAACATGAGGGAACAGGGTGGTAGTGTTGGGAGAGGGACAGAGAGGAAGAGAAATGGAAGAAACATCTTGACTGAGCTCCCGGTGTCCAGTCAAAGAGAGGAAGGAGTGATGTGGGAAGGTCATATGTCTGTTGATTTCATTGGTTGATAAAGAAACTGCCTTGGCCCATTTGATAGGCCAGCCCTTAGCTGGGTAGAGTAGACAGAACAGAATGCTGGGAAGAAGGGAAGTGAGACAGACACAATGAAGCTCCGGCCCAAGATGGACGTAGGCTAGAATCCTTCCCGGTAAGCTACTTCCTCGTGGTGCTACACAGATTATTGGAAATGGGTTAGTCAAGATGTGAGAGTTAGCCAAGAAGAGGCTAGATATAATGGGCCAGGCAGTGTTTAAAAGAATACAATTTGTGTGTTGTTATTTTGGGGCATAAGCTAGCCACGCGGCCAGGAGCCGGGTGGCAGGAATGCAGCCTGCTGCTCCTTTCTACAAAGGAGGGATTCATAGAAGCAAGAAGTGGGGGCACGATCATGATGGGGAAACCCACAGAGACAGCTGACCTGTGCTAGTAGGAGCTCATGGACTCTGGACCGACAACTAGGAAGTCCTCTGAATGTGAATGACAGTGTGTGGCTTGGGCAGTTTGTGGGACCAGGATTTATCCCTGCTGCATAAACTGGCATTTGGAGCCCATTCACTATGGTGGGATACCTTGCTCAGGCTTGATGCAGTGGGAAGGGTCTTGGTCCTGCCCCAACTTGATATATGCCAGGCTCAGTTGACTACCCATGGAGTCATGGAAGGCCTTATGCTAAAGAGTAGATGGGGGGGGGGAGCAGGGGAAGTGGGAGGAGGGGAGGGAGCAGGAACTGTGGTTGGTGTGTAAAATGAATTATCAAAAGAGAAATAAAGAAAAACCACTAAAGAACAAACAAACGAATTTGTACTTTCTCACCAACGAGCCCCAGATCAACGAGTACCTTGTGCTGGGACTAGGACCTTAGCAACACCAAGTATTCGAAACAACGTCTCTGCTTGTGCAGCTGCCTAAGGGCAGCTCCAGCCTTCAATCTCTTCTCCACACTCTGTTAGCCACTTTTCCAGTCTTTTATTTTACAGAGAAAGCATGAAAAAGGCATTTTCTGAGTCCCTGGTATCCAGGTACGATCCTCGAATATGAACACTTGTCTGAGTGCATTTTCCGTTGCTAATAACACAATACCACAGCGTGTGTACTTGTTTTGTTTCGGCGCACGGCTCTGGTACAAGGCCAAAGCTTTTGGCAATGGCCTTGCTAGCAGAGTCCCTAGGCAGAGTAGGGCCTTCCACGTAAAAGGCCTGACCAAATATAACCCATGGAGCTTGTGGGCGGTTGCATCCGTGAAGGCAAACCCCTAGTCAGCTCTGGAAAGGTCCCATATGACCCCCCCGCCTCTTGGGCCTACAGAAGGCCCTCTCCGTGTTTCCTCACTGGGCCCATGTGCCCCTGGGAACCCTCTATGGGGTCTAGTCACCCAGTGATAACACTAAAATTGGATTAGGGCCCACCCTTACAGTCTCATTTTGAGTTGCTCTTGAAATTCATCTCTTCATACATTCTAGAATTTGGGGGTTAGGAGTTCAACGTATGAACTGTGGTCGCAGGGTCCCTGTGCCAGGGCAACCGTCTTCCCTCAAGTTGGGACTTGAAATGTTGGCATTTCCCCTCCCCAAGTCCAAGGCCCCGTTGAGTCCATTTAAGGAGCAACAGCAGCGGGAACTCCAGGCAGAGCCTTGATCAGGGTTGAACCAGAAAAGGGCAAGCTCCCAGGCTGCCTCCAGGAGCAGAGTTCCCCTCAGATCCCAGCTGGACGTGATGAAGGCAGGAGGGCCGTACTGCTTCACAAATCATCAAGACAGAAAGGGTTGGCAGTGGACTTCCCATCTCAGTATCGGGCCTGCAGCTCACAGACCTGATGTCTTCCCCTTCTCCGCAGAGTGCACAGGGAACGGCCTCTCCCTGAGTGACAACTAGCAGAGGCACAGACAGCGCCCACCCCCCCACCATTGGCTTTCTCCCCAGGGCTCAGCAATGAAGAAGGACTTCGAATAAACCCCAAGACTGCTCAGAGGGTCTCCTTCAACTCCTGGCTTGCAAACGAATTAAGGAGAAAATAGTTTTTGAGAATAGGGTGAGCCCCAAGGATAGAGGCCAAGCCAAATCCCAAGGAACTGGAGACGCAGCCAGACACTGGCATGTCCACACCAGGGGCAATTTCTTTCAGAAGCCCGGAGGTCACTTCAGTCATAGGAAAGCAGAAGGCAGGAGAGCTGAAAGCCTCTTCCTTTAAGAAAAAAACGAAGTGTGTTCTGGGGCAAGGGAGGAAGCCGACCTAGAGAAAAGAGGGTGGGGGACACTCAGTTATATTTTTGAGAAACATTTTATTTATTTATTTATTTATTTATTTATTTATTTATTTATTTATTTATTTATTGGTTTTTCGAGACAGGGTTTCTCTGTGGTTTTGGAGCCTGTCCTGGAACTAGCTCTGTAGACCAGGCTGGTCTCGAACTCACAGAGATCCGCCTGCCTCTGCCTCCCGAGTGCTGGGATTAAAGGCGTGTGCCACCATCGCCCGGCGAGAAACATTTTAAAAATCGTTTTCCATTTTTCATGAGGAAAAAATGTGTTCACCAGCTTTCTGTCGCTGGCCACAATACCTGAGATAATGAATTTACAAAAAAGAAAGGGTCTATTCTGACTCACCGGTCCAGTCCACCACTGTGAGCCGCTTGCTCTGGGAGCGGGGCCAGGTTGAGCAGAGGAAAATGGTTCCCAGGGCGGGTGGAGAAGCAGAGCGGAGCGAGGAAGGCACGCACACATATGAGGTCACTTCCTTCCACTGGGACCCACTTCTTAAAGCTTCCAGTGCCAGTAGTAGGGTCTGGGGAATCAAGTCTTCCCCGCACTAACCTTCCAGGGACATTTTAGATCCCAACACTGGCCGAAGATCATTGTTGTTGAGCTGATGCATGTTTGCTTCGTTTACTTAAAAATCTCAGAAAAATACAGAATTCTTGCAAGATGATGATGATGAAAGAGACTTCCATCCTAAGGAGTAGTAGTCTAGTCTCAGGACAGGACTGCCTCAGTTTACCCCAACAAAATTGCTAACGGACTGATTGATGCGAACACCTTGGAGACAGCTTATTGAAGACGAAAGTTTAAAAAATTAACCCATACAGCATAATTCTACAAAACTAGAAAATTCAAGGGCATCTGGTGGTGAGATTTTAGGAAAGGCATTGCCTATAAAGGGACACACAGAGACTTTTTAATCGACCTATTAGCTTGATTACGGAGGTGGCCGTACCTAAAATCTATCCATCAAATTATATTTTGTGTATGCAGTTTATAGTAAGTGAATTATACCTCAATATGCTTTTTTTTTTTTTTTTTTTAAATATTTTTTATTTATTTATTATGTATACAATATTCTTTCTGTGTGTATGCCTGCAGGCCAGAAGAGGGCACCAGACCTCATTACAGATGGTTGTGAGCCACCATGTGGTTGCCGGGAATTGAACTCAGGGCCTTTGGAAGAGCAGGCAATGCTCTTACCCTCTGAGCCATCTCTCCAGCCCCCTCAATATGCTTTTTAAAATTTGGCTTTTCTCCAGTGCCATGGATTGAACTTAAGGTCCCACACACAATAGGTAAGCCCTCTTCCTGAGCTGTATGTAGTCTCTGCCTTAAATTACCCCAGTACTCCACGGGACATTTCTCTTTAGATCAGCACTTGTATTTCATAGTATTACACAAGAATCAACACTTTGTCAGAACGTGTGGAAAATAATACATTGAAAAGAATAAAGATCAAGACTCGGAATCCATGGTAACTTGGTGACCATTTTCTTACTTCACTAGGTGTTTACTTGCTTGCTTGGGACAGGTCTGCAGCCATGGATGGTGATTTGAACTCCTGATCTTCCTGCCCCTACTTTCCCAGTGCTAGAATCTCAGGTGACTGCTGCTGCCTGCTACCTGTCTTTAAGGTGTTGTAAATAGGCTCAGCTGGGGGAATGCTGGGTTGGACTTTTGTCTAAAACAGTAATTAGCTGTGCTCTCAGCCTCTGAGCCCTATGGATGTTCTCTCCCATACTCTAGAGCAGTGATTCTCAACCTGGGAGTCGACCCTTTCACAAGGGTTTCATAACAGTAGCGAAATTACAGTTCTGAAGTACCAACAGAACAATTTTATGGTAGAGGGACACTACAGCATGAGGAGCTGTATAAAGGGCGGCAGCATTTTGAGACCACTGCACTAGAGACTTGCTCTTCTGTTTACTAACAGGGCTTAGAACCTTCAGGTCCCAAGATCTGTAGTTATAAACAGCACAAAATGAACGCTGAGTGACCAAGCTACTCCCTCTTTTGTTCCCCCAGGAAACAAGTGGGTCACAAGATGGAATCCATTTTCCAGTAGTCAGTGTGATGTTTATTTCTGCTTTGCCATAGACTCAAGGTTGTTTTGTGATGGGTGGAGCAGCGAGGCCAGGCGGAGATAGCCAAGGACAGAACTGGCACACATACAGGCCACAAACCTAGAGGGAAGGCTAGCTCAGTTTGTTCCAGTGGGGAGACGAGGTCCATGAATTCCCACTTTCTCTTCCGCTCTCAGACACACTCCAAGGTTTCCTCTTTGCCCCAGCAGCAGAACTTCCAGGGGTTGGAAGGCTCACCAGGATCTGCCCCCACCCCACCCCCCACCAGCATTGAAGGCTGGACTTATTCATGCACTGCACAGCAGGTCTTGGCACTCCCAGATTCACTGCTGACTGTGACCCTGGAAGAAGCACTTATGCTCCATGGACCTTCAGTGAGCGTCTATGACATAGGCATGTCCCCTTTCGAGATGAATCCTAAAGGTCGATTAATTATGAGCAATGCATACATTATGCATATGTGTGCATACATGAAGCCGTGGGTATTCACAGTTGTGCTCTGTTGGTCCAAGTGGACCACATTCTCTATGCCAGAAATGTCCAGTTCCCTACAAAAGGTAGCATCACACTGGTCTGAGGATTGGGAAGATTCTGTTCATAAAACTAAATACTAGCGTTTAAAAAAATCACTTTTCCTCTAACAACATAGATAATACTGAACTAGGGTGTATAGGCATAAACCGAGAAATTACTTTTAAAATAAAAGTACATTCCTACACATTTTAATTTGACCATTTTCCCAGTAAAGTATGATACAATGCACTCTTGTTCATGGGTTTTGTTTTGTTTTGAGCTTTCTGTTACCTCTAGCTCAGAAATAGAAAATTCCAGAAACAAACAACTACTAAAATTTAAGTTGTGGTCCTAATTCTCCTACTTTTTTTCTTCGTTTTTTAACATAGGGTCTCGTGTAGTTCAGGCTATCATCAAACTGACTGCGTAGCCAAGGCTAGCATTGAACTCCTGCTCCTCCTTGCTCTCCTTTCCCAGGTGCTGGGACTACAGTAGTGGGCTCTCCTACTCTTTGAATGCCTAGGCCATTGCCAAGGCTCCCAGCCCTAGGGCTCTGGGCAGCTGGACAACTGCACAAGTCTGTCAACATCTCAGCTAGCTGCAGTTCATTGCTCGGGTGCCGCTTTGTGGGAGGATGTGCTTCCATTCCTCTTTGTGTAAAGAACTAAAACAAGATTTAGTTCTTTAAATTTGAAGTATGTCTTTAGGATTTTATTTTATGTGCATGAGTATTTTGCCTACATGCATAAACTCTGTACATTGCTGTTGCTAGTGGAGACCAGAAGAGGGCACTGAATCCCCTGCCCCCCAAAACTGGAGTTATGGACAGTTGTATGCCATCATGTGAGTACTAGGGACTGAACCACGGTCCTCTGCCAGAGCAGCGAGTGATCTTAAATATAGCCATTTCTCTAGCGCCTTACATACATTTTTAAGCATAAGTAGTGAACTTTCTATCCAGTTACTTCTATGGGAAGTCTTTGTAGGAGCATGGTGACCACACTCCCCTCATTAAGAACATGTTTCAGAGTTTTGGAATATGTCCGCGGTCACTGGATCCTTCCCTTTTCTACGGCAGTGCTAAGGTGCATACTCAATAAAAGTCAGGGGAACAAGCAGTCAGTTTAATGTCCACCAGAGCTGAAAAAAGCCCCACCGTGGCCTCTTTTTCTTAAAGAACGAGAAGAAATGAGAAAGACAGGAAGAAAAGAATAGTAAAGGCTACCTTCAACATTCAACCTGCAAGTCCTTAGCCCCTCCCTACCTCAGTGCCTCCTGGCCTTAGATGCTGATTCTTCCTTAACTCCTGACCGACCACCATGGTCAACACAGGCAGCCTGCTGCATGCCGATGGCTGCTGCCTTCTAGATGAACAGCAAGCTGATCCAGCAGGTCCTCTGAGAGGCCACTCCTGGAAGGTTTCCTGTCACAGCTTCTGCAGAGAAATCAACCCCCCTTGTTTTTCCTAAGCGGCTATAAATAGAAACAAGTGCTAGCCTTATTTCACTGTGGGCAATAAATATAATAAGTGTCCAGCACAGAGACACAAAACTCTTTTCAGTACGCTCCGCCGAAGTTTTATGTGCCTCCTTCTCTATTACTGAGCCTCAGTTGAAAAAGCAATGTTTTGTTTTGTCTTGAAACGTCTAAGAACCCGGGTCTTTTAATAAACATGTAGAGCACAGAACAAGGCCCCTGGGAAGGGCTGATAAAGTGCTGTGCCAAGCAGGAGTCAGTTTTGTGTTTCAGCTCCCACTGTCTGGTACCGAGTCACAGGCCCAAGAGGTCCCTCCACACACGGCCCATTATCTGTCCTTTGCACAGTAACCGAAGGAAGCTCCATTTCTGGCGGAACCATTCAGGGAACCCTTCGGGATCCCTCTCTCCATCCTCTCTCGGCTGAACAGTGTGTCCTGGTCGCTTTCGAACTCAGACTCTGATACCATCAGGCTAGAGTTGTGCTCGGTGCTCCGGTGCTTGATACCTGGGGAGAAGCAGGAAGAGCATGAAGACAGGACCACGTCCCCTCACTGTCCTTTAGGCTGTGTTCCTGGGAGGACTGTGGCTTGTTACCTACATGGCAGGTGGGTTATCATACCAGAAGCTTTGGCTGTTACCCTTGAACTTGAGCTCCAGCTTTTACACCAGCTTCATGACCCTGGACAAGGTACCTAACCTCTCCGCATCTATTGGCAACCAAGCTCTCAGCCACTGGTTTGTGGTAAGACTGAAAGAAACCGCTTCTGTGAAGAGGAAGGGTTTGTCAGAATGTAGGCAGGAATCGAGACGGTTGGTGAGATAACCAACCCCAAGTACCTCAACCTCTGAGGGGAAAAGGCCCTATCACAGTGATGTTTTATTGTCAAGTAAACACTGCTTAAGACAGTGTTTACTACTTAGTGAGGTATACCTCTGTGTGTGACTGTGAGAACTCTTCCAGACAGAGTCAATTGGCTGGGGATGATCTGCCCTGAACGTGGGCTGCACCATCACAGACAGAGTCAATTGGCTGGGGATGATCTGCCCTGAACATGGGCTGCACCATCACAGACAGGGTCAGCTGGGGATGATCTGTCCTGAACATGGGCTGCACCATCATATGCTCTGTGGTCTTGGGATGAATGAAAGTGAAGAAGGAAAAACCAGCTCAGGGCTGGCATCCCTAGACCCACACAGATGTGAGTGAGGAGCCCTAGGCTCCCATTGCTATAGCCAACCCTTGCTCCTACAGTCAGGTCTTTTCCATCAAAATGGACTGTATGCTCAATGAACAAAGATGAGCCCTTCCTAGCTGGGGGCCAGGCCAACCCAAGGCTTTCCCCGAGGCCCCAGTGTATGGAGAAGGACTGTGATTCCTTGTCTGAAACTTGCTTGGCAGAGCCTATAATGGCCTGAGACCAGGGCCTTGAGGAAGTCATGGCTTCATTCTGAGAACTGGACTCTCCCTACACTAAGGCTCTGGTTGTTAGTCCCAAGGCCACTGTATGCTCGGTCTGTGATGCACTTGAGACACCTATGTCCCCTTCATGCAACATTGTTTGATTAGCTTCCTGCCGACTTTGGCCCTTTGTAGGATAGTTTGGGCTGACACCGTCACATTTTCCTTCCAGGAAAAATGTAAGATACTATATTATATTTCTTAGCAAACTTTGTTGGCATAAGACAAAGCTTGTGCAAATCTCCTGCCTTCTTTGTCATCTCATCCTCTGATCATCCCCTTAGTGCCCTGTCGCTGAAGAATGACCTGCTGCTAAAGTCACTTCCTCTCTTAAGCTGCTGCTTGCCAGGTATTTGGTTATAACAACTTAATGGTACTCCGCACACACAGTCATTCCACACACTCCCCACCTCCCAAGATGTTGTCCTTGTTCTTCATGACAAGGCTTCTTCCTCAGGCTGGGATCAGATAAACATCATCCCTGTTGACAACATGTTGAGCCTCACAACTTTGAAAGTGATCACACCTCTCTATAAGAATTAAGTTACCGGCCAGGCACGCTTTAATCCCAGCACTAGAGAGGTAGAGGCAGGTAGAGCTTGGTGACTTTGAGGCCAGTCTGTTCTACAGAGTGAGTTCCCAGATAGCTAGGACTGTTACACAGAGAAACCCTGTCTCAAAAAAACAACCAACCAAGCAAACAAACAAACAAAAACAAACAACAATAAAAACACAAAAAGAAAAGAAACAGAGTTAAGTTACCTACAAACCCAGAATCAGCACTGAGCAGCCTCAGAGGGGCAGAGAAAGCACATTCAGTGGTGGTTAATACGTGAGCATCCAAAGGTTAACTGAAGTGGGTGGAGGTGTCCTGAGCATAAGGGTCAACACACTTTGAGAAGACAACTTTCTGTAAACACCTCAGCGGACTGAGTGGATGTAAAGGAAGCAGCTAACAGAAATACGCCAGGGGTGGGTTGTGTGCCCCATCCCCCTCTAACCCAGAGCAGAGAAGACCCAGGCACTGGGGACACCTCGAGGGAAGAGAAGTCTTGGTCCTGGGGTCACTTGGCAGAGGTTCAACCTTCAGTAAGCTCTTGCAATCCCTCACCCATTAACGTCTCCGAGTACTTGATTTGTTGTTACATTTCTATTACCATACCATCAGCTGCTCTCAGGCACCTGCCGGCACACGGGGTTGAAGGTGTTTGTCTTTGCTTGCAGATTCCCAGGCTTGCTCTTCCAGACTAATTAAATGGTTGGTTGATTCCACCTTAGTCTCCGTTTCACCCAATGTAATGTTCTGGCCAATGCCTACATAAGGTGTTCCAAGGTATCAGGAAATAGCCTTACCGTATTTGGGCCTCAGTTCCATTCTTTCCTGTTCATCCATGTTGTCCAGGATGGTATACTTTGTTTTCTTCCTTATCTTAGTCCTTTTCCGTCTAAAGAAACAACGAAATACTCAGCTCAAACACTCAGCATGGGATTTTTGCCCACCTAACTAAAGGGTTCACCTGCAGCTCTGGCGCTGGGGCCCCTTCAAGCAATGCTCAACACCTGTATACAGCCACGGCTGCTTTCCCCTATGAGTAATACCTCACTCAGAAAGATGTGGGTAAGTAAGTTTCCCCCAAATCAGTGCTAACCAAGAATATTCAGAGACACAGGACTGAAACCAGCAACAGGAGGGAGGAGCACCTGGAAGAAGTGATAAGACAGCAAAGCCCCACAATGACCTCAGAAATAACTTGTCTTTTTCCCACAAGACATAAAAACAGGGCTGATCATTAGTGTCTCATGCTAAGCTGGAAAACATGACTCAAAAGCACTCATTAAAATACACTAAACTCAGGAAGCAGAGGCAGACAGATCTCCGTGAAGCCTGCCTGGTCTACATAGCCATTCCCAGAAAGAGCAATAATGGTGAGACACTGTCTCAAAACAGACAAGTCACAACACTAAGGCAATCTGTCAGCTTGGTCTGATCATGTCACCAAAAGCAAGGGCTTCTTCCTCTCACTTTAATGCTTGCTAGCTGGGGACTTTGAGAATATTATTTAAGACTTCTGTGTCCCATGCCCTCACCTCCAGAAGAATCCCTATCTCTTGTGGTTGCTGGGAGGGCCAAATACAACAAGACAGTTAGAGCCATCACTGAATCAAAACAGTAAATGCTCAGTAGATGTCTCCAGTATTGATCATTTACTTAGATGCAGATGCCCTAGAGTATAAAGTGCATCATGTCGGGCCCATGAAGTCCGGTATGTTTTCATCCTGGCTGTCAGGTAGTCCTTTAAACAGTGAGACACATGCAGGTACACAAGCCCAAAGCCGTCCATCACACCAGCTAAGGGTCTCCTTCTCTCCCAGTGAGCAAGCACATTAGGTACCTCCTGCAGCAGCAGATGCACAGCCAAGCCACAGCTCCCGTTACCGCTGTCAGGGTCAGTGCCAGTGCTGCCACGTAGAACACACTCCACTCTGCAGAACAAGAAGGCCGGAGTGCACAATGATACACTGTTTGCTCACCAGCTCTGTTCTGACGCCTCACGGTGAGTCTGTCTGGGCAGAAGCCAGCTGTGGTGCTGGGACCACTATGTGGGGCACGCAACAGAGCCTAGCCAGGGCAACAGACTAATTGGCTTTGTCTACTTGGTGGAGGGACAGAACTCAGGGACCTCAGGCACACAGTTCAGGCTAACTTGAGAGCAGGAAATCCAAAGTAACTGAAATGAGTCAGTGAAGCAACTATGTATCTTATATATAAGAATATGAATTATTAGAATGTTCATTCTAGATCCCAAGAATCATAACCTTCCCCCAAAAAAGTCTATATGATATTTTTTTTTCCTCCTCCTCCATCTTCTTTTTGAGACAAGTTCTCACATAAACTAAGCTGGTCTTGAACTCACTACATAGCCAAGGATGGTCTTGAACTTCTGACCTTCCTCCTCTAATCCCCAGTGCTGGGATTATGGATATACACTCAACACCTGGTTTTATGTGGTGCTGGAGACAGAGTTCTGTGTGTGCTAGGCAAGCAGTCTACCTACTAAGCTGGATCCCCAGACCCATGCCATGGTCTTCATAGAGCAAGTCAAGGGTCTCTATGTCTGCCTGTGACATGAAGATATCAGCGCCAGAGGTAAATCTGGAAACTACTCCTCATTCCTTCTACATCCTAAGCTTTGAAGTAATAACTTAGGGGCAAAAATGCCAATGTGTGCCCAAGACAGTGGCACATGCTTTTAATCCCAGCATTTGGAAAGCAAGAGACAGGCAGATCTACATCAGTTTGAGGCCAGCTTGGCTAACATAAAGAGTTCCAGGACAGCAAGAACAATATAGAGAGACCATGTCTGAAAAAGAAAAAATGAAAAAAACAAAACCACCAATGAGACAGACTCGTGCTTGACCTGAATAAATATCATATCATCTCCGTAGCATAGCAGTTTGAAGCTGGCTCAACTCTGATGTTTGTGGGGAGTTCAAGAACACAGCTTGGCAGGCAGCACTTAACATTTTTCTGCCATTTATGTCCACCTGGGTCCTCAGGCTAGCAAATTCATTCTTAAGAGTAAACTGCCATTAAAATGTAGCTTTTTAGCTGAGTATGGTGACTCGGATATGTAATCCTAAGACTCAGAAGGTGGAAGCAGAAAGATCATCTTCTGCTGTGTAGAGAATTCAAGGTCTGTATAGAGAATTCAAGGTCAAGAATCTTCAAGGTGATCTGCTGTGTAGAGAATTCAGAGTAAGATCAGGCTATATGAATGTGTGTGTGTGTGTGTGTGTGTGTGTGTGTGTATACATATATATGTCTTATATGTCTTGTTTTGGAGTTGTATATTTATTCATTATATATTATATATACTATAAATACGTGAGTGTGTGTGTAAATGTGTGTATGTATGTGTTTGCATGTGGTTTTCTCTCCAAAGAGACTGACAGACACCAGCCTGGGCTGTGGCGCAAGACTGTGATTCTTGTGACCGGTACCTGCCTGGGCTGACTCCTAGCAGTGTGGGCCACATTTCCCATTTTGCATTATCCAAGTATGGGGTGTGCTATCATAAGGTCCCAACATCCTAAGCCACAGCAGACACATTCGGGAGAAAAGTCTCAACGCAGTTGTTTCTTAGCACTGCCCATCATGGAGAGCAGAATGGCCTTGCCAAATCTCTCTCTCTGTGCAATCAAGTGAACTGGTTCACTTGACTTCAGGTAAGAATGGGATTGGATGATTCTCTAGAAGCTAAGCCAGGAAAAGATTGAGTGTCTTCAAGAACCACACCAGAAGCCATCATTTTACATACACACACACACACACACACACACACACACACACACTACACTTACCACAGTTGCTCTCGCCATCCCACATATAATGCTGTATGAGGTTCTCCATCCACAGCTGGGAGCAAATGCAACGTTTTGTGATGGGGTCACAGTGACCGTGACCTGAACATTTGAGAAGGCATCCTGTGAAAAGGGGTGCAGAAATGAGGTTACATGGGCAAAAGGAGGTCTCCAGTGTTCCACTTCCATAGTGGAAGCCCAGAACAAATGGGTGAATTAAAAAAATTTCTTAAGAAGTTGAACATGGTGGTTCATGCCTTTAATCTCCATTCTCAGGAGGCAGAGATAGGTAGATCTCTGAGGGTGAGATTAGCCTGCTATGGTGGTTTGAAAGAAACAAACCACTACTAGGAGGTGTGACCTTGTTGGAGTAGGTGTGGTCTTAGAGGAAGTATGCTACTGTGGAGGCGGACTTTGAGATCTCATATATGCTCAAGCCAAGTCCAGTGTCTCAGACCACTTCCTGTTGCCTGTGAGTCAAGATATTAGAACTTTACACCTCAGTTAAATGTTTGTCTTTATATGAGTTGCCATGGTCATAATGTCTCTTCAAAGCAGTAGAAACACTAACTAAGATACCTGGTCTACAAAATTAGTTCCAGCATGGCCAGAGCTACACAGAGAAGGCCTGTCTTGAGAAAAAAAAAAACAAGCAAAACCTAAAATCTCTTATGAGCCCAGCATGATAGCACACATCTAAAATCCTAGGACTCAGGAGGCTGAAGTAGGAAGACTGCAACAGGTGTGAAGCCAGCCTCGTCTACACAGCAATCACGAGGCCAAACAGGACACCATGGTGAGACCCTGTCTCAACCCTCACCATTACCTCCACAACAGTAGCATAAACTCTCACCATCTCATGGCTCAACAGGAAGCAAATTGAGGGAAAAGCCAATTCCTACCATAGAGAGAACCTTAACCAAAACAATAGCCTCTGAGAACGTGTGCAATGGAAGCAATCGGGACTGCACAGTGGTTTGTCTCATCGTAACACTATTTAAATCATCTCGAGCCGGGCGGTGGTGGTGCAGGCCTTTAATCCCAGCACTCGGGAGGCAGAGGCAGGCGGATCTCTGGGAGTTCGAGACCAGCCTGGTCTACAAGAGCTAGTTCCAGGACAGGCTCCAAAACCACAGAGAAACCCTGTCTCGAAAAACCAAAAAAAAAAAAAAAAAAAAAATCATCTCGACAGCTCACGGGTAGAAGAGTAGTTGTGTGATTACAGAACACACCCAGGGAGGAAAACCAGGGAGCCACGAATGTCTCATGGAAATGAAATTCTAAAGGATTTGGGGAAATAATAATGGTATGACTTAAAGTTTAAAGACACATGAGAATACCTTGATGTAGCTCAGCGCTAGAGCACTTTGCCTAACATGTGTAAGACACTAGATTGAGTGCCCAGCAACATACAGATACACACTCACACACACAAGCATACTGAAAAATCAAATCATCTTGGTTGTATTTTATTTCCTAAAGATGGAGCAACTTAGAAGGAATACCTCAGAATAGTAACAAAAGTTATATTTGGGTGATGGGAAGTCGAAACTCTACAAACTAGAGGATTGTTTTCTTCTTTGTCCATTTTGGGATAGTTCAAATTTTCTAATAAATAAATCACTACTTTGGGCTCTTAGAAAAACAAAAGATTCTACTTCAAAAAAATCAAGTTATCAAGTTGCGCATGTTACAAATAAGAGAGTCAATGGTAGGCTAGTGCATCTCTGAAACAAATTATCCTGGGGCAAACATCTCAATGGGGTAACTCATTGAGATGACTGCTCCATTAACATTTACTCATAAGATGAGGACAGGGACCATGGAACTATAAATCAGTTTGGTATCTTACAGGAACAAGCAGAACTAGGACATACAGTCACCACAGGAAGACATGTATACGCTATCTTAAACTGGCAGGAGAGATTTTTGAAATAATGACATATGACACTGCTGTTCTCCGGTTTCTGTCCAAGACAAGAGTAGTGGCAAATGTGTCACAGAAAACCTACTGGAGAAATAAATGTAGAGTCCCTGGAGTGGGGGCCTTGAAGGGAAAATATCTGTTTCTGTGGCCAAATTCCTGAATTTAAAAGGGAAGGGCTCATAATTCAGAGGAATACAGTTCATCATGGCAGAGAAGATGCAGTCATGATAAGGAAAGGCAGCTAGCTGGTCACAGTCTTCTACAGTCAGGAAGCAGGAATAGTAGATAGGGGGATGGGGTGAGTGGCTAGAAAACCCCAAGACCAACCCCAGGGGTTCACCTCCTTCAGTAAAGCTCCACCTCCTAAGAGTTCCATAATATTCCAAACAGTGTTCAGAGACACTATGGGGAACATTTTACATTCAGCCACAACAGTGTCCATGTTGCGCCAATAAAACTCCTGTAATTGGCAGATCTGGTTTATTTTATTAGAATATTTCCATGGGAGACATACCTGCTGTGTCTACCCTCAAGACCTTGAAAAGTAGGAAGGCTGCCTTTTCCTTTGAAAGCCGCCTGTGCAGATTCCGGGCCACGTCAGCAGCTCTGAGAACCTTGAAAGGTGGCCCGCTCTGTACATAAAATACAATCACGGTGCTGTAGAAAAGACAACAAGAGGACGGTCACATGATGAGACAGTGGCTAGCAAGATGTGCCACCTCAGCCATCTGACCTAGAAAGGGAGCAGTACAGCTCTGTGGCTTGTTCTTTCCCTTAGCATGTTTTAATGTACATCCATGTTGTTGCAGGCATTATAGGATTCATTTTAACTGCCAGTTAATATTCATTGTATCTATGTATATTCCTGTGTGTGTGTGTGTGTGTGTGTGTGTGTGTGTGTGTAAATTTGTTTGTATTTGGGTGTAGATGTGAAGGTCAAGGGTCAACTATGGGGGTCATTCCTCAGAAGCCATCCAGCTTGTTTTCTGAAACAGGGTCTTTTTCATTTTGTTTTTTGAGACAGGGTTTATCTGTGAAGCACTAGCTGTCCTGAAACTTAGTCTGTGATGAGGCTGGCCTCAAACTTACAGAGATCTGCCTGCCCTCTGCCTACCAAGTGCTGGGAATAAAGGTGTGCACCACCACTATACAGCTAGCAGAAAATGAATCATATAATGCCTGCAATAACATGTTCTACACTCCTGAAGAGACACCACCTGCCCTGTGGCTGGAGAGTCTCCACCAGGATCCTGACCCTCAGATCAGAGACTCCTGTTAGAGGCTGCATCTGACCTCCAGCTAAGACATATCACATAATGAGCAGCCTTTCAGAGACAGGCTTAGGATTATACTTAGGAATTCAGCACAAACCTTGCATGATGCCCCTCAGCATAATAAAATGTAACTCTTGTCATACCAGCTATGCATGCCTACCTTCTTGCTTGAGACAGTAGTTATCATATCTGGCATCGGAATGCCACGTGCTGGGCATGCAGCTCCATACCTGACATCCGTGTGTGCCTGAATCCTGAGCACCTTCACGTCCGAGTCCAGCACATTCAGAAGCACAGCCAGCTGCCTCACAAGGGTTTCCTTCTGCTGCTCTGTCAGCTGCTCCACACCAACCTGCAGGATCAGCTCCACCAGGCCGTCCTTCTTGGGGTCTGAGGAGAGAGAAGATAGGATTTTCACCACGAGACCACAGCCTTGGTAAGGCAAGGAGCAGAGGCTGTAGAAAGGTTCAAAGCCAGACTGGGCATGTTGGGTCAGGAGACAGATGCTGGCTCAGTACCCACAGGTCCTGGGTTCCATGCCCCGCAAAGCAAAAGGAAGGTCAAAATAAGCAAATAAACTTAAAAGAACTCTTGTCTGTCTATCATATTTAGCTTTAGGACTCAGATTATCCTAAAACAGCAGAGGCATGGATTGTGGTAGCATGCGCCTACAACATCAGCACTTGGCCCTGGGGGCAAGAGGATCAGAAGTTCAATGTCATCCTTCCTGCACAGGAAGTCTAGGCCAACCTGGGCCACATTAAAACCCTATCTTAAAAAGAATGAGAGAGACAGAGGAAGAAAGAAGGAAAGGAAGGAAAGGGAGGGAGGGAGGGAGGGAGGAAGGAAGGAAGGAAGGAAGGAAAGGCAGGGAGAACACCACAGAAGCCACTCTGGAGTATTTTATAAATTTCATTCCACTTTGTTATCTAGTAGCTTTTCTCTCAAAAGATAATCAACTATAGCTTTGGGCTACATTGAAACTCTGACACCTCCCTTCCCCAGCACCTGAAACATTGTTTTCCTGCTCATGGGTGGTGCTACCTAGTCCAGTTCATGTAGCGTCACCATGCCCACCTCACTGAGGCTGCCCTCCCTCAGCCTGACCGTGTTCACTTCATGTTAAATCAGGAAAGCAAAATCTTCCTTTCAGATATAAACTCCTACGATGAGACTGGCCGAGAGGAGAAGCTGGATACTGAGGAACTCCTACCAGGGTGACATCAGCTCGGCACACACCTGGTAGCACCTCCACGGTGGCAGTGTCTGAGTCCGACGCCCCCTGACTGTCCGTGACTAGCAGATGGAAAGTGTAGACTCCTTCCACCAGGTTGGTGAGCTGCAGAGCCACCCCGTTGTCAGAGCCTCCGATGACATCCTGAGAAGTGAGGAGAGGCACAGGCCAGCTGTCAGTTTTGTACCCAGTCTCTGAGCCTCTCTGGAGCTCAGAGCTCTGAGTTTCTTATTTTCAGACGTATATGACTTATTTGGCTGGGGGAGGGAGGAAGGGAAAGGGGTAAGGTTTTAAATCTTCACTTCCTCCTTATGTGGAACATAACCAGTGGGAACAAGGACCAAACAAGATGTGACAAACAACTTTCAGGAATTTCCAAATGATTAATTAACAGAGGAAAAGAGCTTAGTTTGAAAGTCCCAGGACAACGCATGGAGTTTTATGGTCTCCTCGTCTAACATAGTTATATAATGCTGTCCCCTCGTATCGCCTCATGGTATATCCTATCCACCTTCTCAAGTGACCCAGAGCCTTGCACACAGGTCACTCATTCAACAGGCCCAAGTCCCGAAGAATGAGAGAGAAATCTTTTGGGCTCTACTTTTGTCTGTCCTTGTTGACCAGAATGAACAGCAATGAAAAGTTAAGAATCTGAACTGCAATACTGCAGCTACAGTTAGGAGCTAATCTACCATCAGATGTACAAGGTGTTTTCAGTCCCTTCCCTGTGCCCACACTTTTGGTATCTACAAGAAATCTTTTGTAGACATCAAGTCCTTAGTCATGAAATAAAGGAAGACGCAGGGAAATGTACAATCAGAGGCAGAGTGATCCAACAGCTTCCAAAAGCTAAAGATCTGGGCTTGGTTTAAGACTGAGCTCTTTGGTCTTGGCCAAGTCACGTTCCATCTCTATATTTTACTCACTGCCACTGTGAAGTGGAAGTGGAAATCCCCATGCATCTGACATACTTGATACACGGAGGAAGAAAACTAAAATAGGAAACTTGGCTTCCATGTACTTCGTGATGCCCAGCCTTTCGATATTGTGACATAATGTTGTCATCTACAAATGTGTTGGCTGGATTCACAGCTGTTCTAGGACACAAGAGACCTGTTACCATGAGTGGGACACACCTGTATGATGTGCTAGCCTACACAAAATCAGATCAGGAAGAGGACTTCAGCTTTGCTTAAACCTATCGGCACCCTGATGTCTCCAGCCCTCAGAATATTAAAACCCAGAGGTCCCCGAATCTTATTGGGGAGATGACATGGTAAGAGGGAAGTCACGTGTTCAAGCCCTAATCTGCAATATGACCTAAAGTTAGAATTTAGAAGAAGGTAATTAAATTTGAATGAGGTTATGGGGTGAATGAGGATTGGGGTCCTTAAATAAGAAACCTGAGAACAGTTCTCCCACCTCTGTCCTCCTTTCTCACATGGCCACAAACAGACATAGTAAGTGGGTGGCTACCCCAGATGCAGAAAGAGATCACTCACCACCTTGGTCCTGTGGTTTCAGTTGCCCTGCCTGCGGCCTTTTGTCACAACAGACCACACCGACTAATCTGTACAGTACATGGCTGAGGGGACAGTAACCCTCAAGTACTCACGCCAGCAGCTGGACTCTGGCCGTCCCGGATCCACAGATAGGACACAATTCCTCGGTCATCAGTAGACCTTGAACCATCCAAAGTAATGGAATTATTGGGAAGTGTAAGAACATGTCGGCCACCGGCCTGGGCTCTCGGAGGACTGTTATCTTCTAAGTCAGACACCACAAAAACAAAAGGCAAGAAATTGACTTAAAACACCACCGACAGCGTGGCATAAAACACCCACAACCGCTCCATCTTGTAGCCAAGGTTGTTTTAGATACCCCAAGGCATTATTTTCTGCCCCAACCTGTAAGATAAGATATAGCTAGACATCGAGCAGCTCTCAGTCCAATGGGAAGACAAACAAAAGCAAGAAATTTTACTGAAAATTTTACAATAAAAACCAATATAGACAGCTAGGGATCTACAGTGGTAAAGTGCTTGCCTAGTATGCCTGAAGCCCTCCGTCCAGTCCGTCATCAAATAAACCAGGCGAGGTCCTGCATGCTTGTAATCCCAGCAAGCAAGAGGATCAGAAATTCAAAAACTTGTCTTTAAAAAATTGGTGGGAGGGGTATATGGGCCAACTAGATGGCTTAGAGGGTAACAGTGATTGTCATCAAGGCTGATGGACCCACATGGTAGTCAGAGAGAACTGACTAGCTGAAAGTTGTCTTCTGACCTACACACACACACACACACAAACACACATGCATGCATGTTCACACTGTGGCAAGCACACTCCCGTTCCATACATACACAGGCACAATAAATAAAAACAATAAAAAATTGTGAACTTCTGTTTTAAAAAACAAAGTACATAACTTGAACGTCTTTCTGCTCTTGGGTTTCCAAGAGAGAAGAAAGCAAACCACAGGCCTGAACCAGATCTTTTCCCTGTAAAAAATGTAGGCCCATGGCTTCTTGCTCTACACTCACGGAGCAGGCTCATGGCTTCCTGCTCTCCACACTCCCTGGAGCCAGAGAGGACTTAAATGAACTCAGCTGCCAGGGAGAAGGTTGGCGCCCCCCCCCCGGACAGAGCTCAGTAAGCTGTGAACTCATGAGCAAACACTAACAGGGCTGGGTAATCATCATCTGACTTGGGGACCTGGGAGACTGGAAGGCAAGGCAGGTTCAGGTCCTGTCACCAGATCCACTTACCCTGCTTCACAGCCACGGTGAGTGTGGATGTGCTGCTCAGTCCCTGCTGGTCTCTCACGGTTAGACGGAAGTCATAGGTACCCACCTGAAGCCCAGTGACAGTGGCTATGGCTTTGTCCACATTCTCCATCTCCACGGCACTGGGACCCCTGTAAAATGGGGTTGTTGCAGACAAAAGGTGGGGCGTGAGATCTGAGCCCTAGCAAAAGCTTCTACTTCTGGCTGCAGTGGCCATCTGCGTTTCTACAGAGGTCTGAGGTAACTGTACACATGTTCTCTGGCTTGGCATGAGGGTCAAAGCTGAAGCCTTTTTCAAACCAAATGTGCTGGGTTCTGGGGAAAGGATTTTCATCCTTTTTCTCTTTTAATTGAGATGCCACTGAAATATTCTCCCTTTAGAAAATGGAATCTTAGAAATTGCTCACACCTTTCTTTTTCTTTTCATTTTCTTTGTTTTTTTTTTTTAGATTGAGTCTCACTATGCAGCCCATTTAGTCTTGAACTCATGACAAGCTTTCTGCTTCATCCTCCTAAGTGCTGAGATTAAAGGCATGCACTACCATACTCAACCTCCTATTTCTTCTTTGAATGAAACTCGGTTAAGCCCTCATCGAGCTCCAGGGCATGTGTAGAAGAGGAAGGCAGGAGGCAAATGGTCTGCCATTGGAGAGAGGAATTCTGTCTAGTCATTGAGACCCTAGGACTGGCTGGCACACAGGTGCAGTTTTGTGTCTCCAAGCAGCCTCTTTTAGTCTAGTTACCCTAAACTACTAGCCCTTGCTTATTTCCGTAAGCCTGCGTTTTTCAACTTTAAAATGGGATGATGCAGCCCAGCGTGGTGGCACATGCCTTCAGTCCCAGCACTTGGGAGGAGGACGATAAGTGGATCTCGGTGAGTTGAAGGCCAGTCTGGTCTGCGTAGAGAGTTCTAGACCAGCCAGGACCACAGAGGAAACTCTGTCTCAGAACAAGCAAACAAACAAAATGGGAACAATGCAATTCCCTCCCCAGAAGCCATGTAGAGTACTGAGATCCAGTAGGTAAAACAGGAAATGTTACGATATGAATTTCACCCCGGACTCTGCACACCTGCTCTACCCAGTCACTGGGGCTGGTTGAGTGTAGACAGACCACCCGTGGCTTTCCCTGCGTCTTTTTTTGCCAGGAAGCTCATGGTTCACCAAGCCAGCCCTGTCTACCTGTTCTGGGCTCCGCTTCCCTCTACTGCCCACCAGTGTCCAGCTCCCTCAAAACACTCTCCTTTTTTTGTTTGCCTGTTTGAGATGGGGGATCTTGCTATGGCGCTTAGGCTAGCCTTGAACTCGAGAGTTTCCTGCCTCAACCTCCCAAGTGCAAGGATTACAAGCATGCAGAACCACTTTTATCAATAAGGACTAGTTACTCTTTGCTCAAATCTTGACTCCTCAACAAGCCTGAGCTGCTGTTTAGTACAGTCCTCCAGGGAAGGGATGCTGTCACTCGGCGGTGACACGGCTTCAGACCTGGGTGGGTACACTACCTGATGTGCTCCCAGTGGTAGCAGACAATGCCGTGGTCATCGCTGCTCCTGCTCCCATCCAGTGTGGCACTCTGTACCGGGAAGAACAGCTCCTTATCAGGGCCTGTCACCGCCACTGGAGCCTGGTTGTTCTCTGGAATTGCAGACATTCAAGAGAGGAAAGAAGAGAAGGAGGAAGGAAAGCAGGAAGGAGGCAGAAAGAGAAGGAAGAAGAGGAGGAAGGGAAGGAGAGAAGAAGAAAGAAAAAAAGGTGAGAGGGAGGAAAGGATTATGGGGAAAGCAAAAGGAGGAAAGAGGGAAGAAAGAATGCAGGGGAGGAAAGGGAGCCAAAATCAGGGTGCATAGGCTTGCGCTCTCTTGTCTGCAGCTCCGCTGTCTAGCACAGTACCTGCTAAACAGCAAATGCTGACAATATCTCAGTTGTGGGCTGGAAAGACCTGGTTTCAATTCCCCATACCTACATGGTGGCTCACAACAGTCTGTGACCCCAGTTCTGACGCCTCCTTCTGGCCTTCACAGACACTCACACAAGCCAAACACCCATGTACATAAAAATAAATATTTTTAAAAGGAAAATATTTCAGTGGAAAGTGGGAAGAAAGGAAATGAAGTAAAACATCACTCCTACCGTTTCTGCTTCCAAGCCAAGAGTCACATAGCCACAGCCACTACCATGGAGATACAGTCTCTTTCCCCCACTGTCCTCCTTAAAATGAATAGTGGCTCCCTAATTTCCTAAGGGCAAACATCTACAAAGCCCTCATGAGAGCCCTGCTCCTCTATGGATATCTCATTCCAGGCCTAGACCCAAGCTTTTGTCTCCAGTCATACCGTTATTTTCATTTTTATTTCATTTCATTTTATTTCATTTTTAGCTCTTCAATGTACCCAGGCCCCTTTCATCCTATGGCTTCTGGGAATCTAGGTTCCTTTTTCTAAACATCTTTCTTCTTGCCCTCCATTCCCCATCCTTCTCCTCCTGACCACCTGCCATGGGTGTGTTAACTGGGACCCCAGCAAAAGCTATCTATGGGCCCAAGTGCTCTGTAGGTGCTCTTTATACGGGCACCCTTCCTGACTGAGGAAAGCACCTGAATAAGTCCATGTCACTTCACATGTACTTGCCACAGCCTTGGAAGGGCAGAGGCAGGTTCATCCTCTTTGATTCCATATCCCTAGGGTCTGGCTCAGAGCGCCTTTTACATATTAGTTAGAAAATTCATTAGTTGTCTTTCAGCTGAGACTGTCCCCATTGTCAGTCTATCAGGTGACGGATGTGGAGACAGCAGGCCTTTGCTAGAGAAGTTTTGGAGCCAAGATGGTTGTAAAACAAGGTCTAGCTGGCTACCTATGACTCTCCTGAAAGCTACAGGTAGCAGAGTCCTGGGTTTTTTGAGACTAATAAGAGAGTGGAGCCTGGGTCAATGCCCAAGTGTCTGCTGCATCTGGGTGTCAGGTCACACAGTCAGCCAGTCTCCCCAACACGCCCTGGAACTTTCCCAAGCTGAGTATGACAGGCACAGGAGTTACCACGTGATAAATCAGAGCCACGGGTGGTGCTGACAGTGACTCTCATGTTGTCTCCTGAACTGCGGTTTAGAGCGTGTGGCAAGATTCAGAACCTCGAAAGGAAATCAGTTTCTCATGCCACATCAGCTCTCATGGCTGATTTCCTGTCAGCTCAGGAATCTCAGGACACTACCGCCCAGTTAGTTAGACACATCTGAAGCTCAAGGGTCTAGTTTATCATTTCTGCCTTCATCTCTGGGGTCAAATCTCATCTGTGTCTCACCTACCAGCCTGGACAATCACAGCGACCGAAGCAGTGGATTGCTGTCCTGAGGAATCCGTCACCGTCAGCTGAAATATGTACTCTCCTTCCTGCATCTCAGACAAGTGGAGGTATGGGGTCCGCACTCCCTACACAGTAGCAAACGTGAGAAGGAAACAAGAGGAAGACTATCAGTACAGAAGTCGAGAGAGCAGCGTGGCACGGCAGGTGCTAATGGTTTCACCTAACGCAGAGAACCTACATGAAAACAAACTGGGTGCAACCGTGCAGGCCTCACACACCAGCTATGCGCTGTCCTAATTAGATTTTTTGTTTCAACTTGACCCAAGCCAGGGCCATTTGGGAAGAGGGAACTTCAGTGTAGAAAATGCCTCTATCAGATTGGCCTGTAGGCAAGTCTGCGGAAGTATTTTCTTGATTAATGACAGATTTCAGAGAACCCAGCCTACTGTGAGTGGTGCTGCCCCTAGGCAGGAGGTACTGGGTTGTATGAGGAAGCCATAAGGAGCCAGCCAGTGAGCAGTGCCCCTCCTCGGCCTCTGCTTTAGTTCATGCCTCCAGGTTCCTGACTTGAGTTTCTGCCCTGACTTCCCTTGACAATGGGTTGCAACCTGCAAGGTGAAATAAACTTTTCTGCCCCAGTGTTACCTTCAGTCATGGTCTTTATCCCAGCAACAGAAAGCAAACAAAGACTCTTGGGAAGCTGAAGCAAGAAGGTGGCAAATTCAGTGCCTGCCAGGGATACAGAGCAAGTTCAAGGCCAATCTGCATAATTTAGCAAGACCTTGCTCAGCCTTAAAAACATAAAAAGGAAGAAGGATATTCCTTGCTTGCCTAGGATATGTGAGGTGCTAGGTAGTGCATGCAAAAATTAAAAGAAAGAAGGAAGGAGCAGGCTGTGAGGTGCATGCCTTTAATTCCAGTACAGGGGAGACAGAGGTAGGCAGATCTCTGTGATTTTGGAATCAGCCTAGTCTACATAGCAAGTTCCAGGTCAGCCAGGACTACATAGTGAGAGCCTGTCTCAAAAAGGGGGTAGGGGAAAGGGGGAGAGTAGAAGGAGAAAGATAAAAGCAGGTGTGAACCCAAGAAAATGCAATCTTGAGTCTGTTGTGTACTCTCACAGCACTGAAGGAATGTAAATTAATAAAACCTGGAACTCAGGACCGCAGTGTTGGAACAGGGTCCAAGAATGGCGGTATAAGGAGATTTCTGAGTGCTTGTGAGAAAACTCCAAGACACCAAGACGAGAATCTTGTGACCTCAGTTTCTTCAAAAACACAGAATTGTTCTTGGGTTATGCTTTAGTGCCCCTCCCCGGTGTAGTGAATGGGAGTGAGTTCACTTCAGATAATTCATTACAACCAGCGAGTGTTATTTGTTCATGTTCATGGGCAAACATGTTTTTACCATGAGCAGCTGTTCACCACATGTGGCTTGCCATGTGATTAGACACTTTACGCATGTTAACCCAGCTAACCCTCGGGGTACAAACTGTTTGATGTGCTGAATAATTGGCTGTTGCATGAGACTTTAGTCAGCCTCATTCATAGGCTCCATTCTCCCAAGTCCACCACTTCTGGAATGGTAAACACAGCAGTATCTGCTATGGTGTTTCAGTAAATGGGGCACTCAGAATAACAACTGCTTTTCAGATAATGTAGTTAGGTTTGTTGCTTCTAATGTCTCTCCCAAGACTAAATGACATATTGCTCTAACAAACACTGAGTCAGCTTTTTTCCCAGCTGACCTCAAGAGCTAGTTGAAACAACGGGACTGATTGCTTGGTTGCTGTTCTGTGCTTACCTAGGTATGTGACAGTCGGGGGTGTAAACCTGGAGGAGATTTGTGAGGTTACATGCTCTTCCAACATTTCATAGTTTGAGAAATTTATAAAATAGATTTTCTGATTTAACAACCTCCCTAAACCAAGAATAGGTGAATGAATGATACATAGATGATAGACGGACGGATAGATAGATAGATAGATAGATAGGATAAAAGTCTGCAGGCAGGATCGAGGACTTGCCTGCATGACCACCTCTTGGTTCTCACCGCCAGGGCCTGGAGACCACTCATAGAGGACAATCTGGTGATCGTCGCTGCTCTGGCTTCCATTCAGAGTGATGGTGTTTTGGGGCAAAGTTATGGTCTGATTTGGTCCTGCATTAGCAACAGGTGGGTAGTCCACAGCATCATGGATGATGAGGGTTGCTGTGGTGGAGTTAGTAGCGCCATCTGAGTCTGTGATGGTCAACCTATAACAAGAAAAGGAAGTTCTTAAATCCACAATTGGGACATACCTGAAAGTAAGTGGTCACCTTAGCCTGCTCAGACTAAACATTCTCAGGAAAAGGTCAGAATAGAAACTTGAGGACGAGGCTAGGAAATGCATACAGGTCATATTTTTCATTGCTTCTGTTGTCATGGATTCATTTTATTTTTGAGTCATAATATGTTCCCACATTAAGGCTTAGCTTTTTCAAATTTACTAGTCTTTGAGATGCTAAGTGGAGAATGTGCCCCCTCCATGCAGCTCAGAAGATTCTCTAGTCAACTCAACTCATCCTAAGTGTGTTACTAGGCACTCTCAGCAACTCACCCTAAGAGCACCACTAGATGTCCATCTCCAACAACTCATCCTAAGAGCATCACTAGACATCCATCTCCAACAACTCATCCTAAGAGCATCACTAGACGTCCATCTCCAACAACTCATCCTAAGAGCATCACTAGACATCCATCTCCAACAACTCATCCTAAGAGCATCACTAGACGTCCATCTCCAACAACTCATCCTAAGAGCATCACTAGATGTCCATCTCCAACAACTCATCCTAAGGAGAGCATCGCTACATACCCCTCTCTGATAACTCATGCTAAGAATGTTACAGAGCCACTTCTGCCTTCCATTTACTGACTGAACAACCGCTTGTGAATTTCAGTGACAAAACACTCAATTTCTAAATTCATCTCAGGGGATTTTCTACAAGTATGCTTCCAGAACATTCTGCAAAGCATTTTAGGGTTAAACATTTTCAGATATACACAAATGCTCAACATACACACACCAAATAAAGAAGGGGGGATGGAGGGAAAGAAGGAGGGAAGGAAGGAAAGAAGGAAGGAAGGAAAAAGAAAGAGAGAGAGAGAGAGAGAGAGAGAACTGCCCAGGCCCTCCTGTACTGAAATGGTCCCTCCTGTGCTCCCAACAACAGTGCACTCTCCATCTGCTAACTCATTTCACCCTTGGTTGGGGGTGGGGTGTCCGGGAGAAAAGCTGTATAAATAGGAATAGAGAACAGCCCAGGGTAAATGGTATATCAGAGGCCATCGGCATCTTCTGGGTTCCTTTCACACTGCCCACAAACCCCACACAGACAAGGGCCAAACTCAGCTCATCTCTGATCACAAACAAACCCCTGGGGTCTCTCCCATCAGAACTTTAACCCAAGTAAGGAAAGCAGAAAAAGGTTTAAAGTATCACGTGAATAGAAAAAGTGCTTAAACACCATATTGTCCCTCATTTTCAGGTCATGGACACAGGAGAAATATTTCATTTCCTCTGCTTGGTGATATATTATTTTTATTTTTATGAAAGTATCAGTTTCAAAAAACAATCAAAAGAGAAGTCCTGGGAAAACACAATACAGGTGGAACCCACTTGCCTAAAAGTGTAGTTACCAGGATCTAGGTTCAACAAGCGTAAGACTGGGCCATCAGCCGGAAACACCTCTCCTAGGATGGGCCCGTTGACTTCTTCCCAGTGGTAACTCACTATCTTAGCGTCATCTGTGCTTTCTACAAAGAACAAGAAAACAGTATCCAGAATGGGTTACGGGAATAGTGAGATGAAAGCGTAGCCACTTACTGAGAACTTCAGTGTGTTTTGTAGAAATACACATCTGCCCAGATCCCCATGATGTGCGCTGTGCATTCTGCCATCCCCCCAGTCCCTAAATTGTCATTGCTATTTTTCTAGACTTGCACAGGTTTGAGCAGGGCTGTTCTAACTCACTGAATATTTAAAAAGCAGAGTGACAGGCATGGTAGCCCAGAATGTAGTGCCTTGACATTCAGCTGCTACTCATCTTGGTGACTGATGACATACTACCGACAGCTTCATATAGAACCAACAAGTTCTTGAACATGTTAAGAGTTGATTATCTACAATTCACAAAAACCCCTTTAGCATATTAATGATTAAGATATAAGTAAAAAAAAAAGACTGCATCATGCATGAAAATTTCCCCACTTAAAAGGCAAACCAGGGTGGGACTGAGAAGGCAGCACAGCAGTTAAAGACACCTGCCACTATGGTTGGCGACCTGAGTTTAATCACACACACACACACACACACACACACACACACACACACACACACACGTATGAGCAAACAGCAGTCTAGGACTGTAGCTCAGTGGTACAGTACTTAACTACTATGACTGTGAAGCCCTGGGCTTGATCCCCAGTAGTGAGAAGTGGGGAAGGGTGGTCTTGGCATGGGAGTTCACAAGCATTCAGGAAACAAAGTCAGATGTATCTCCATGAGTTCAAGGCCAGACTGAGCTACGTAGTGGGACCTCGTCTCAAACAAACAAAGAACAAGCAGGGCTGGAGGATGTAGCTCAGTGACAGAATGTTTGCCCATCATCCACAAAACCCTGGGTTCAATCTCCATGTCACAAAAATAAACAAATAAATAATAAAAGAGAACAATAATATGTGTCATGTAGAACCATGGACTTCTAGACCTAGAAGGAAGTTGGGCTTTTTGTCAAATTCATTTAAGAAAATAAGTTTATGTGGCCAACTAGAAATCTTGTATGGTTTTCATAACTAAGCTATTCTGAATCAAACAATTAAAAAAATGCAGGCCTTTTTTCAGATAATTAGTTTCATTTAAAGTGTTCTCTGCCTGCTAGGCATAGAGACTCACAACCCTATAATTCTAGCATTCGGGAAGGGGTTGAGAGCATTAGGGGGCCAAGGCCAACCTTAAGTACATCGCATTGCAAGTGTGGGCCAACCTGAGCTGCCTGAGAAAGCAAGCAAGCAAACAAATGCGCTGTACTTTCATGTTGCAGTGGGTGGAGGATGTGGACGTGGTGCGGAATAGATGCGAGCAGTCACATTGCTGTGACGTCCACAGTCTGCAGGCTAGCCGACAGAGCAAGAGCCACGAGTGCAGGCTGCTTTGCACTCTTGGCAGGCCATGGGTTAACTCTGTGACTGAGTGAACGTGAAGGCAGATGCAGAGCACATCACCTTGTTCAACCAATTCAGCACTGAGCGTGTTTACAGTCTATTCTCGTTCGTGTGGACACCCAAAGTTACCCTATCTCACCCTCTGGTTAAAGAATAAACTCTGAATAAATTAGTAAGCGAAATGCTACCCACTCTCACTGCAGCCAGTCCCACTCTTCTTTAAAGGTTCTGTTCAATTGCTAATATTACAAATTCTATGTGAGTCACAAAAGAATCCTTAGTAATTCTCTGAATTGTGAGTCAAATATCGGACCCTAAAGAACATTGTTTGTTGTCTATTTTTTTTGTTTGTTTGTTGTCTATTGTTTGTTTGTGTCTCACGTACCCCAGGCTGGCCTGGAACTCCCAAAGTAGCAGAAGATGGCCTTGAATTCCCCATCCTCCTGCCCTTGCCACCCAAATGCTAGGATTACAGATATGCTACTACTCCCAGATGAAAGCTGAAGAGCCCAGGACAAGCAGTTAAAACAGACACTGGTTTATCGTGGTAGAACAAGTCTTCACACAGAGTGCTCAGTCTGACAGCACAGACAGACAGAAAACACCCAAACATGGAGGATACACACGGCTGCCATCGATGAGGGCTGAGGTCAAAGGCACAGTGAGTTCCTGGATCTGAGGAGAGACAACTGCTACGGGTGGCTGGTTGACTCTTGCAGCTGTGGACAGAAAAAAAAAAAAAAAAAAAAAAAAACAGATATCAACTAAGCCAACTTCGCGCACACCAGCCACACACAAACAAAGGCATCCTTTATAAAAGCTGCTTCTGAACATCCTACAGAGGTCTTCATCCCCCTGGGTCTCAACTGTGGAAAACCAAACTTTTAAACTCCTCCTGGGGATTTTGAGCTTGTCTTTCAATTCATATATCTCTAGATAATCCTAGATGCAAGAGGAGAGTCATGGAATGTGTACAGTGATTACAGAAAAGAAAGACTAGGGGGCTGGAGAGATGGCTCAGAAGTTAAGAGCATTGCCTGCTCTTCCAAAGGTCCTGAGTTCAATTCCCAGCAAACACATGGTGGCTCACAACCATCTATAAGGGGGTCTGGTGCCCTCTTCTGGCCTGAAGGCATACACACAGACAGAATATTGTATACATAATAAATAAATATAAAAAGAAAAAGAAAAAGAAAAGAAAGACTAGATTGGTGGGCCTTATTTATCCCAGGGTAGCCTCCAATTTTCTATAGATGACCTTGAACTCCTGCTCCCCTGCCTGTGCCTTTCAAGTGCTAGGATTACATGGTGAATACAGGCATAGCCAATGCTGGGCAAGCACTCTACCAGCTGACAACATCACCAGGCCATGAACTGGATCTTAAATCTTTGAGCGAAGGTGCCCACCACTTTCACTAGACCTCAGCTGTAATAGTAAGTAGACTGTGGGAAAGGGAGAGCTGCTGACCCCAGGAGAGATGGCTGGGAAGTGGTGTTGCTAGAATTTGATGCAGGCCAATGGCTCAGCTGAGCTGATGGGTAAGTGGAAGCTGCAGGCTGGGGCATAAAGCAGGGTGTGCCCAGCAGGACCCCAGGTCACCTCCTCTAATTCAGAGGAATGCACTGCACTGTGGTCCAGGGATGGACTTGATAGACCATGACACATGTGTGCCCCTGAACCTTTAGGGACACAGATGCATTTGAAATCTCCATGGTCCTACCTGAAAGTTAGGTCAGGAGGAAAGAAGGTGGATAGTGTGAGGGTTGGACAGGGAGGGCCAAGGTACAGTTTGTCATCATTCAAGAACAGCAAGCCGTTACCTTGTGGACTTGAGTTGCATGGCAAACAAATGCTAGAGTACCAGAGAAAACAAAAGAAAACAGAAAGACTAAGCAGAATCCTTGCATGTTTTCTCTACAGAGGTGCCTGAGGTGAGGTGGGTCTGAATGAGAGCGGCTCCCAAAGGCTCATAGATTTGAAGGTTTAGTCACCAGGGGGTGGACCAGCTAAGAGGGGATAGGAGACCCGACCTTGTTGGAGAAAGTGTGGCCTTGCTGGAGGATTTGTGTCACTAGGCTGGGCTTTGAGGTTTCAAAAGGCCACACAGGCCCAGGCTCTCTCTCTCTCTCTCTCTCTCTCTCTCTCTCTCTCTCTCTCTCTCTCTGCCTGTGGATCAGGATGGAAAGCTTTTTGCTTCTCCTTCAGCACATGTCTGCCTGCATGCTGCCATGCTCCCTGTCATAATAACGGCCTGAGCCTCTGAAACTGTACGCAAGCCCCCAGTTAAATGCTTTCCTTTGTAAGAGTTGCTTGGTCATGGTGTCTCTTCATGGTAACAGAACTCTAACTGAGACAGTGCCTAAGGTAAAAATAAAAGGGGTCCAAACTCCAAAGGGCAGTCCAAATATCCAGAGAAGAGTTCAACCTGGACTATAGGAGGATTTCTGGCAGTTAGAGAAAAGCCAATATTCCTCAGGAACTTGTGAAGTCAGCTCCCTCTATCACAAGGGGTCATTTCCCTTACCCCTGGCAGAAGGGACATATGTCTACCCTGTGTCACCTTTCGGCATATCAAAGTCTATGCTGGCTTCCAGGCTCCCTCTGGACCGCAAGTACCTGTTACAAAGTCCATGCTGGCATCCAGCCCTTCTCGCTTCCTCTCTACCCTAAACGCCATTCAGCTCACTGGCTTCCCTCACCCCAGTTACTCAGTCTCCGTATAGCCTTGGTATTCTTGCTATGTTTTCTCTCTGCTCTGTTCCTGCTTCTCTGTTTTTTTTTTTTTTCTGTTCTCTTTCCCTTGCTATTCTCCCCTCTCTCACAAATAGCACTGACCATGACCAGTCTGCTTCTTTCTCTCTCTGCTCTGGGTTCTTCCAGACACCTCTAACTGTTCCCCTCCTCCCCCATCTCCTCTACAACAAAAACCTCCCCCTTAACCACACCACGGAGCAGACATGTCAATAGTTTATACAACCATGACATCAGGTGCCAGAACACGAGACTAGCACAGCCGAGAGGCCATTCTCCCACCGACTCACCTGGCAGGACAGTGACGTTGACGTACCCTTCCCCAAATGCGTTCTCACTAGAAACAGCCACTCTGAAGGTGTAGAGTCCCACAGACAACTGCAATGTAAAAGCAGACACACAGGCGAACATCTGAAGACACGGGAATCACCTTTCTCGAACAGCATCCCAAAGGTTGAAAAGAAGGCTCATTTCAGTCTCTCTAGGACTACTACTAATGTGAGAGACTAGGTCACCTACATAGGCCCTTTGCTTAGTCACAGATGTCACAGGCCATGTGTCAGCCACGGACCGCAGCTCTCGGGTGAGTGTGAATGGAATTGTGCTGTATTTTGGGTTTGGGGGGCAGTGCTCAGTGCTGAAAGTGAACCCAGGGCCTCCCATGTGCTCAGCAAGGACCCTACACTAATCTGTACCTCAGTCTGGAATCACACTTTTCTAGCACACAAGTTCACAAAGTTCCTGGCGGAAGTCTGGGTACCACGCTTTGACGAACAGCTTAGTCACACGGCAGTGATGTGAGCTGGTAAGGCTGTAACAGCGTTACAGGAAGACATTTGTCTCCCAAGAAAACAAACCCCTAGCTATTAAGACATGTGCTCTCCATGGAGACAAGGAAGTGTGTGTCTACTTGTATGTGTGTGTGTCTTGTTGCATGTGGAACAGTATTCGACAATCTAAGCAACTAAGCAACCTGTTCCAGCAACTAGACTGGAACTGCGGGAAACTCATAGAACATGCCTGGTAGACATCGGAGACACCCTTAACATTGTAAAGATGGCAAGAATGAGGACCGAGGCTTTGAATCCAGCACACAGAATGGGCTTCCGAACCTCTTTCTTCTGAGCTGATGATATGTCAATTTAATTATAACTTTTTTTTTTGAGACAGGAGATCTGATTATGTGTCCTAGGCTGGCCTGAACATCTAGGATCAAGCAATCTTCTTGCCTCAGTTTCCCAAGTAGCTGAGACTGCAGGCACATGCCATCATGCCAGGTTTGTTCATTTGTTTTTAATCCTAAGAGAGGATTCTGGGGTCAACAGTAAAGGTGTTGCTAGCTGAATTCTGGGGTGCACAACCTGCCGTGTTACTTACTTGAGGGAGGTGGAGAATCGGCTTGTTTTCTTGTTTGATTTCACCTTGAAAGTCTATAGGGTGGTCCATTAATTCCCATTCATAGCTGTAAGTTGTGTCTGAGAACAAATCGGAAACATGAATGCTTATCAATCCTGAGACAACCCAAGGAAGAGAGAGCCTTAAACCAATAGTACCAACTGCCTTAGGAACACGGAACTCGGCTTTCAACCCTCATCCCAGTGAGAAATCACAAGGCTTCTGTGTCTTTGCAAATAAAGAAAAACAAGCACAAAAACAAATTTATCATGAAAGTATACAAATCATAGAAAATAGAATCTAAAGATTAAGCCTCCCCAATGTCACTGTTAACATTTGAAAACCTTGCTGGGCGTTGGTGGTGCACGCCTTTAATCTTAGCACTCGGGAGGCAGAGGCAGGTGGATCTCTGTGAGTTTGAGGCCAGCCTGGTCTAGAAGAGCTAGTTCCAGAACAGGAACCAAAAGTTACGGAGAAACCCTGTCTCGAAATTTAAAAAAAAAAAAAAAAAACCATTTGAAAACCTTCCTTCTAAGTTGTTTCCAATGCCTTAAAAAAAAAATAAGACAGGCTCTCACTATGTGATCGGTTAAAGCTTATACCCTATCTTGAACTTCCTAGACACCTACTGCATTTATGCTAAAGCAGTAAACTTCAGCCATCTCCTGTTATGGGATATGGAAAGGATGTATCAAGTCTATGGTCTGTGGAGACCTGGGTGAAAACACCCCCGTTCTACCTGAGGCCCAGTCACCCAAGAATGTCAAACTCTTACCTGCAGAGGGTGCTGGCTCAACAGAGGCCTTCAGTTCTGCTTCACTGTCTGGTAAGGTTATCACAAGGTTATCTCCAGCAGACACTGCAAGTGCCTTTACTAAAAATTAATTAGAAACAGTACATGCCATTATGTAATACAAAAAAATACCTGTTTTTTGAATTATCATTCCTTATATAATTTTATCTAAAGCACTCCACCCTGGTCTAGTGCCCTCTGTTATGTTGCAAGATAGACTTTGCCAATTTCAAACTTTCTACATGAGTTGGCACTGTGATGAAAATAATCATTCAAAATGAGCTATGTGTCAGGCGGTAGTTTACCAATAGGTGGAGGACTACTGATTGAGTTTGTTATCTCTGTTGCAACCAGCTTTTCCTGACTCCCTGAGGAGTGGTTCTTACTTACAAATAGCTCAAGAGTGTTGATAAGTGTCTCAGCGTCATCAGCCACATGCTCAGATCCGGGAGTTCCTCCTAAGTGACGGCTAATGGCTTTGCTCTTGGAGCCTTTCCAGCAGGAAATCCAGGCAAGCTCAGTATGAAAAGGTAATTTCACTCCAGCGGCAGAGGCATTAACTCCCCTCAAAGCACTTACCTGCTAAAGCACCGAAGCTCATTTACTGCACAATCTGAATGGCATCGACACAGTCCTGCTATAGTTTGTCTCAACCGGGCACTAGTTTCAAGTCCTTCGTGTTTGGTTCAGAATAAACTATTTGAGTTGAGTTTTCTATGACCTTAACCCCCCAAACCAAGCTTACTAAGAGCCGAGAAAGACTGTGTCATTCTCAAAGACACCCCAATATTCCCATATCACCATTAGCACCCAGGGAGCCAATCCCAGGGCAGCTTCTCTTCCTCTCACAGCTTCTCCTTCACTACAGTCCTCTCCTCACTGAAGTTCAGAATCAAAGTCAGTGAGAGTGAAGGTTAAAAAGCATCAGGGAATCAGAACAGAATAGCACTGGCTCAGGGCAGCATCTGGGATACCAATCAGTTCTCAAATGTAGCTGAACCTTTATGTTTGTAGTGGTGCTATTATTATTGTTGTTGTTGTTGCTATTATTATTATTATTATTATTATTATCAGAATCGTATATAGCCCAGGCTGGTCTCTTTCTTCCTATGCAGCCAGAGATGATCTTGAACTCCTGACCTGCCTGCCTCCACTTTCCAAGTGCTGGGATGATCAACTTACACCTCCACACACACTTAGAGTTCAGCCTTTGAGCCAGGCTGTAGCTACAGCCACCCTCATCTTCTGGTTGACATTGGAAATGTTAGCCCCTGATCACCCTCTGGACAATAGACCTTATTTTAGTTTTTATTTAATTTTCCCGTTGCTGTAACAAAATCCCTAATAGAAGTGACTTGAGGAAGGAGGCTTTATTTTGGCTTACAGCATGAGGACACAGACTGTCAAGGCAGGGAAGGCAAGGCAGTGGGAGCGCGAGGCAGCCGATCACATAATATCCACAGTCAGGAAGCAGAGAGAGATGAGCCCTGGTGCTCAGCTCACTTTTTCCTTTGTGTGCTGTCCAGTCCCTACCCCAGGGAAAGGGGCTGCTCACAGCTCAGGTCTTCCCACCTGGGTGAACCAGGTAACCCTTCCCATCCTAGACTCCTTCCTAGCTTGCCTTCCCCACCCACAAAGCCAGCTCTAGCCAATTGATCTCCTTCTGGTTCTTCCAAAATATTATGTAAGTCTTTTCTTCTCTTCCATACAGGATGGAAGAGATCGCTCATGGTGCTGAGGTTTAGAGACAACATTCTCAAGACTAGTGACTTCCCTTGGAGAGAAGCCTCAGAAGCTGGAGACCATTGCAGGCCCTTCTGACCCACTCACTATGTGTCTTCTGCTCCCAGCATCGGTACGGGCTTTCTGCAGTTCCCTGTCTCCCCCTCAAAGTCACGCCCAAAGAACACACTTTCTTGCTGAAGTACACAACAGAATACACAACCAGAAATACACAGCCCTCACTACTATTAGAACACGTGTTGCTCCCACTCTCCCATGTGAACTGGCTCGCCCTAACCTGCCTGTCTCCTCCCCTCCCTCAGAGAGCCGCAGAGGAAAAAGACAGCACACCAGTCACCTTTTACTCTGGTTACACAGCATGGTGTCGGTTATGTGTCTGTCTCGAGACTGGAACAGAAGGGAGGAGTAAGCCTTAAACACTGTCCCTGCAAGATCCTGCCTCTGTGGTAAATGTCTTCTAACTGTATTCTTAAAAAGTTACCTGTCCTGGAAGAAGTAGTAGGTGACACAGTCGTCGAAGACGGGGTCAGCCCAGAAAGGACTGTACTGGTGGGAAATGTTGGGATGCTGCTTTCTGTGTCCCATGGCGGGACTGTGGGAACAGAGCTTTTCTCTACCGTGGCTGGGCTGGACTCCAGGCTGGCACGGGGAGGATTATGGGAAGGTGTTATAACCTGCGGGATAAATTAACAAAGGGTATTGTTATGAAAAAACATTCATTTGGGTTGGACAACACAAATATAGGCAGTGGGTGGTTTGTGCTCACCCCCTCCAAATTCATGATGATTGGTGCCATGAGATGGTTTTTAGGTGAGGGGAGGCAGAGTAGGTGGTCAGGTCAAGGGAGTGAGAACCTTCGTGAATAGAATCAGTGCCTTTGTTATAAGGAGGCAGAGCTCTGTGGTGGTAATGGCCTAATTAGACCATCAACAGGCTGAGGCAACAAGATTGCTGATTTTGAGGTGAACTTTGGCTATATAGCAAGGCCTTGGTTCAAAGAAAGAGAAAATGAAGAGAGGAAAGGAGAAGAGAAGAGGGAGAAGGAGAAAGGAGAAGGAAGAGAAGGAAACAGAAAGAAAAGGCAAGGGGGAAGGGGAAGGGTGAGAGGAAGGAATGGCTGACCTGCCCTTCACCCTCCTCAAGGCTGATCTTGATTGGTTTTCTATAGATACTCTCTTCAGCAGTGCTGTGGCATGAATAATGCTGCTATGTGACAGTCTTTGCATGGGGAGATGCGTTCATCCCTCTCAAGTGCACACTAGAGGAGCAGCTGCTGGTCACGTGCTGGGGAGATGGGATGTGTTACTGTTTAAGAGCTCAGGAGCAGCAAGCCAGTTTCCCAAGGCATCCGCATTGCTGTGCACTCCACCAGCCACGAGTGAGCCCTGCAGCTTCTCTGCTAACACCTCCCTAGGTCAGGCTTTGCTGCTGCTGCTGCTAAAACTCAGGGCTATGGACCTTGGGTGACACCCCACCCAGTCTTGTTTTTATTTTTCTAGTATTTTATTCTAGCCGTACTAATAGGCATGAGGTGGTATTATTACATTTTGGATTCAACTTCTTTTACACATTTTATTTATCCTGAGTGGTGGGGTTACAGGCAGGCACCACCACTCACCCTTCACCAATTTTTAAGTCAGGTTGTTTTCTTATTACTGAGTTGTAAAACTTACATTTCTGCATGTTAAGTTATGATACATGATTTACAAATATTTTACTCTATTCTATGGGTTGTCTTCTCTTTCTTGATGTTCTTATTCAGGATGCAAAAGTATTTAATTCTGATGAAGTCAATTTATCTTTTGTAATTTTTTTTTTTTTTTTTTTTTTTTTTTTGCTTTTTCGAGACAGGCTTTCTCTGTGGTTTTGGAGCCTGTCCTGGAACTAGCTCTTGTAGACCAGGCTGGTCTCGAACTCACAGAGATCCACCTGCCTCTGCCTCCCAAGTGCTGGGATTAAAGGCGTGCGCCACCACCACCCGGCTATCTTTTGTAATTTTTATTAAGTTTTTTGTTTCTTTGTTTTGAGACAGGGTTCTCTATGTAGCTCTAGCTGTCCTGAAATTTACAACTAGGTTGGTCTCAAACCCAAGCAATCCTCCTGCCTCTGTTTCCCGAGTGCTGGGATTAAAGATGCACAGCATCATTATTGCCCCCCCCCCAAAATTATCTAAACCTTGTTACCAAGGTTACCACTGTTTTAACTCTTTTCATTTAGGTCTTTAGTACATCTTGAGTTCTTTCTTTTTTTATATAAGAAAGCTACATCTCAGTCTTTTGCATTTATTGGGGCTTTGAAAACGAAACCCCAAAACAGATGCTTCAAAAGCCAAGTTTCTCTCTTGCCTTCTCCTGTGCCTGTATCTTATTATCCGCAGAAGCTACAAGTCCTTTTCCCAAGTATGTCAAGAATCTTACATACTACTTTCCTTTTAAAGTCTTAAAGGAGCTAGAGAGGTAGAGAGCTTGCCTAGCATGGTCAAGCCCCTAAGTTGTAGCTAAACACAGCATAGAACAGTAGAACCTGGCGATCCCAGGGCTCAGGAGGCAGAGGCAGGTAAATCTTTGTGAGTTCACAGCCAGAGCCCCTGCCTGAAAATAATCAGGTAAATAAAAATAGGAATCCTGAAAGTGTTCCACGTCCTCCAATCCCTTCCTTCTAACTACCTTCAGATCTCCATCAAACGCCCAGATTCTTACATTCTCTCTCTCAACCATGCGGCCACTGAGTTCTCCATCAGTTCTGACCTCACAGGATTTCATTCCATCTCTTCACTCCCAGCAATTCTTGCCCCTCCCCTACTCCCTCCCTAGGCACTTGTTAAAGTGGTGGAGATTCATCCCAGGGTCCTGTGAACAAATGTCCCCCCACCCCCCGCCCCAGTCATACCCCCATTTGTCTTTCTTTTCTGACATTGGATCTTAGTACATAAAGGGGCCTTGACCCCTTCACTCCTGGGCCTCTTGCCTTCTCCTCCTGGGTAGTGGAGACTACTTGGGATGGGACCCTCGTTCTCCTACCACCAGGGGTTTTCATGGAAGGTGTATGGTCTCTTTCTACCCACCAGCTTCACTGTGTCCAGCACCTTCCTAGTCACCTGACTGGTGGGGCTAACTATGGTGGAGTAAAACTTCACATCTGTCTACTATGGGAAAATTTTAAAGCCTGTGTGTGTGTGTGTGTGTGTGTGTGTGTGTGTGTGTGTGTGTACACATACATGCTGGTTCCAGGGCCTAAGTCGTCACTAACATTAACCAGCCATAGAGGATCTGTAGGGAGACGGGCTTTTAGGTAGAAAGGGAATCTTTGTTCTTTTCAAACTGCCTACTTAGGAAAGAAAGCACCGCAAAAGAGTGCTGATTTGTTTCCCGTTAGCCTCTGGCGTTCATCCTCGGCTTCCTCTAGCCTAAAGGAGTCTGGCAGAGCTTACTTAGCCTTGTGTTTCTTCCCTTGCCCACCCCAGCACGTCTCGAGCACACCCACCTCTTTTCCAGAGCTATTACTCGGTTGTATTTGGAGCTGTAAAGGCTCTCTCTCCATCTCCTCTCCTGCAGGTAAAGTGGTTACAGAGGGGGGCCACACGCTGCTCACTGCCGAGTACCCCGGGGTAGGGGGCCAAGTGGACTCATTCAGGGCCTCCAGCTGCTGCTGGTCCAGTGACTGGGGTGTGGGGTCCTGCAGCCTCTCTGAGGAAGTAGCTGAGCTGTCTCCTACAGATGAGACATTGAAACCTCCTTCGCTGCCGGGCAGCAGGCTCCAGTCGGGGTACTCGATGCTGCCTCTGGGGTCCTGTTGGCTGGAGGATTGCAGGAGGCCCCGCTCCAGTTCTTTGTAGTCATCTGGGTACTCGGCAGTCTCCTCCGGACCCGGACCCCCGTCTTTGCCTAGAAAGGGCAAGTCCTTCCTGAGATCTTCAAGGGAGTCTCCCCAAGCTCCGGAGGGGGAACCCCTGCCCAGCATCATGTCTCCGTAGTCCAGCAGCTGCTCGGGCTTCTGGACAGGTCTGTGAACAAAAGTGAGGTAAGACCGGATGGGGCCTGTCGTCCTGGGCTCGCAGTTCTCCGGGTGCACGCAGTTCACCAGGTAGCAGCTGCCCTCAAACCACCAGGCCAGGTCACAGCTGGGCAGGTCACAGCAAGCAGCCGTGCAGTCTCCCGTGGAGAAGGTTTGAGACGCCCGCATGATTCTAATAGTTTCCAGGTTAGGTGAAATGATGGCGTTGGAATAAGTCCTCCCCGCACTGCACTGCTGGCACCTGCCACCTGAAGACCAGAGAGGGGCCAACACTCAACACCAAAAGGCAGATTAATAAGCAGACAAACTTCAAAAGAAGAAACACAAATGGCCAATAAATGTTGGAGAAAATATCCAAGCTGTATAGTACACCTGTAATGCCAGCACTTTGGAGATGGAGACAGGAGGTTCAGGAGTTCGAGGTCATTCTTGAGAGCTAGAGGCCAGGATGGGTAAACTACATGGGACCTGGTCTCAAGAAACCAAGCAGAACCGGAGTTCATATGCAGAATCTAGATTTAAGGACCTATGACATGCATGTACATATTTGCACACACGCATACCATGAAAGTAGAAGGGAAACTAGAGGAAGAGGAAGGTTCTGAAAGGAGGGGCAGCAGAGGATAATGCAGGGAAGGCTGGCAGGCCATCATGCTTCCCCTAGGTTCACATGTATAAACATATATGTGACATGAAAGGAAAAGCGTGGGCTGGAGAGGTGGCACTGCTCTTCCAGAGGAGCCGGGTCCAATTCCAGCATCCACACGGCAGCTAACAACTGTCTGTAACTCCAAGATCTAACACCCTAACAAGACGTACATCCAGACAAAACACCAATGCACATACAAATAAAATAAATTGTTTATGAAAAAGGAAAAGCACAACTTGGAGGGAGGAGGGAGGGAGAGGAAACAGGGCTACAACAATGAGGCACGGGTATGGAATGCCACAGTGAAGCCTTTCTTTAAAAAGGCTTTATATTTATTTGCTTTTGTGTGTGCATGCACACACATGGACCATGAAGGTCAGAAGACAACTTATGGGAGTTGGCTCTTTCTTTCTACCATGTAGGTCTCAGGGAATAAACTGACTAGGTTATTGGGTTTGACAGCAAGTTCCCCCTCAACCTGCTGAGCCATCTTGCTGGTCCAAAGCCTATTGTTTTGCATTAAAAACGTAATGTGTATATATAATATATACGTATAAAATCACACACACGTGGGTGTATGTATGTAAGTATGTATGTATATATGTATATGCACATTCCAGGGAAACCACTCTAAAACCCAGAGGCTCCTCCAACCCTGGCTATGCAACCATCCGCCACACTTCTCATCCACACAGTCACTGTCTTTCCACTGGTTCATCCATTTTTCACTCACTCACCCACCTACCCACTTGCCATGTAGTCCTCTGTTCTTTCTCTTATCCACCCATCCCTCTGTTCCTCTACCTTTCTATCCACATATATTGTTCCAACTATTCATGTGCCTTTTCACCTGTGCATTCTGCCTCTTCATATGATTCCGTTCTTCTCTGCTTGTGTCTCCTGTTTCTGTAACTCACAATAGGCCTTGTATAAAAAATCATCACAGAAGTAACAGAAAAGTACTGCATCTTTGTTTTGTTGGTGTTGTTAATTATTTTTTAATCTCACAAGCTATCTGATGATAGATCAGATAAATGTCATTTCTCCTCAGTACATATCTATAATCAAGTACTTTGGAATAGTCCTTTACACCATGTGAAGACTTGTCACTCAGGTTGCTTTAATAAAGAGCTGATTGGCCAGTAGCCAGGTAAGAATTATATTTGGGAAAGTCAAACTAGGAGAATTATGGGAGGAAGAAAGACAGAGTCAGAAGAGACGCCAGCCAGCCACCGAGGAAACAGGACTTGTAGAAAATGAGGTAACCAGCCATGATCCATGTGATAAAGCATAGATAAGAAATATGGGTTAATTTAAATGTAAGAGTTAGCTAGTAATAAGCCTGGGCTATTGGCTGAACATTTACAATTAATATTAAGTCTCTGAGTCAGTTAGTCGGGAAGCAGCTGCCAGTTATTTGGCAACAGTTGGGACAGGAAAACTCAGCCTAAAATCAAGTTTTTGTTTGTTTGTTTTGAGAAGGATCTCATTATATAGTCCTAGCTAACCTGGAACTCACAGAGATCCATCTGCCTCTGCTCCCCAAGTGCTGGGATTAAAGGCGTGAGCCACGATGCCTTGTTTTATTCTACTAGTCAGACTTTCAAAAAGAAACTCTCAGTCTCTCTACAGAGTCACTACAGCAAGCATGTACTGGCATGTACTGCATGGTGTGTGTGGTCGGTTAGTTTCCATGACAAAACAATAGAAGCAAACCTTAGCAGCACGGGATTTCCTTTCTAGCAAGGGCTCATCATTGAAATTTATTTTAATAAATGTTTAGTTACAAGAGGACTGTCAGACATTGTTTCTAACAGGGAACATATGGAAATAAATAATGCACGGGAACCACCTTTATGCTATCTGTACACAGATCACTGGGAATAGATTTTTACTAGAGCAATGTCAGTAGTACAATGTTAGCATGGTAGATAGCTTGGGAGTCTCATCACACAATGCCAGAGCCAAGAAGATTGCTCAGTGGGTAAGAGCACGTGCTGCCAAGACTGATAACCTGAACCCACATGGTAGGAGAAGAAAACTGACCCCTACAAACTTGCCTCCCTACACATGCCATGATACTTGTGCACGATAAATGAGTGTTAAATACAACACAATGCCAAACATCAGCTCTTATGGAAAGACTCTTTCATCTGATGGATTGAGAATGAGATACACTGCACGTGTTCCTTTTCTAATTCAAAAAGCAGCACATGAAGCTGAGGTGGTGTTTTCTCCAACACAAATCTAGCCTTTAAATCACAAGAATATTTTTGGTCTTTTATTTTTTAGAGAAAAGCTAGATCTCAGACATGGAGAAAACCCTGATTTACCATAGCTGAACACAACAAAACGGCCCTCTTACGAAGATCAAGAGAGGATGGGGTGAAGCAGGGGTGAGGCAACTCCCAACCTCTCAAACACACAATGGCTACCATTGCATCTCCCCCGTAACTTTTTTTTTAAGATTTATTTATTATGTATACAATGTTCCTCCTGCATGTACACCTCTATGCCAGAGAAGGGCACCAGATCTCATTACAGATGGTTATTGAGCCATTATGTGGTTGCTGGGAATTGAACTCAGGACCTCTGGAAAAACAGTCAGTGTTCTTAACCTCTGAGCCATCTCTCCAGCCCTCCCCCGTAATGTCTATGAAGAGCCAGAAGGTTCTCCCTCACCCACGTGATCAGATGTGCTATACTTCCCTGAAGGACATGTGTCCTGTCTGGCAGCAAGTGAATTCAAGCAAAATTATATTTAATGCCTGGCCCTGGCCACAGGAGCCAGAGCCACAGGAATCGGCTTTTACAGCTCTCCCAGGAAACAATGTCTCCAGGCAATGCTTGCCTACCTGTGATGGCAACCAGCAGCAGCAAGGAGGACAGGGTCCCTGTAGGGAACACCATTCTGCCTCACAGGATGAGGCTTCCAAGGCAGAGAATTTGGAACAGGCTCCCTTTGGTGGTTGATGAGTCAGATGTGGCCTCTAGAACTTCAAAGAAAACAGAGAGAGACAAGGAAGAAGAAAGGGGTAGGTAAACGTGGAAACACAATATTCCTACCATTTATTCATGTTAATAGAAAAACTATTCACGGAGGGGAGTCATAGCTGAAGCAGCCATCTCTCCAGAGAAGTTTATTAAAATAGCCTGAACAGTTAGTTCCTCAGAAGTTATAAAAATAAATAAATAAATAAATAAATCAGTCAATCAATCAGCCAGACATAGTGGCACATACCTTTAATTCCAACACTCGGGAGGCAGAGGCAGGCAGATTCTGTGAGTTTGAGGCCAGCCTCTACACAGTGAGAGTTCCAGCCAGGACAGCCAAAGCTAAATAGTAAAACCCTGCCTTGAAAAAAATAAAATAAAAGGAAAGGAAAAAGGAAAGAAAGAATGAAAGATTTTATGTCAGCTCACCCTACAAACAGTGGAAATAAAGACCAATCAAGGGAGGAAAAAAAAGTCTCTAGCTGGGTAGTGGTGGCGCACGCCTTTAATCCCAGCACTCGGGAGGCAGAGGCAGGCGTATCTCTGTGAGTTCGAGGCCAGCCTGGTCTACAGAGCTAGTTCCAGGACAGGCTCCAAAGCTACAAAGAAACCCTGTCTCGAAAAAAAAAAAAAAGACAAAAAAACGAAACAAAAAAAGCTCTATATTCACAGAATGTTATGGCAAAGAATTCAGTCAGCACCAATCGATGGAGACTCAAAGGCAGAGGAAAGGAAACTTTGTATAGTGGGATGAAGGGAAGGCTCTCCTGGAACTCGCTTTGTTTTTTTTCTTTGTATAGTGGGATGAAGGGAAGGCTCTCCTGGAACTCGCTTTGTTTTTTTTCTTTGTATAGTGGGATGAAGGGAAGGCTCTCCTGGAACTCGCTTTGTTTTTTTTTCTTTGTATAGTGGGATGAAGGGAAGGCTCTCCTGGAACTCGCTTTGTTTTTTTTTTCTTTGTATAGTGGGATGAAGGGAAGGCTCTCCTGGAACTCGCTTTGTTTTTTTTTCTTTGTATAGTGGGATGAAGGGAAGGCTCTCCTGGAACTCGCTTTGTTTTTTTTTCTTTGTATAGTGGGATGAAGGGAAGGCTCTCCTGGAACTCGCTTTTTTTTTTCTTTGTATAGTGGGATGAAGGGAAGGCTCTCCTGGAACTCGCTTTGTTTTCTTTCTTTTCTTTCTTTTTTTTCCTCGAGACAAGGTTCGCTGTAGCTTTGGAGCCTATCCTAGAACAAGCTCTTGTAGACCAGGTCGGACTCGAACTCACAGAGATTCACCTGTCTCTGCCTCCTGAGTGCTGGGATTAAAGGCTTGCGCCACCACCGCCTAGCCGGAACTTGCTTTGTAGACCTTTGTGGCCTCCAGCTCACAGAGTTCCACCTGGTGGAAGCATTTTCTTATTTACTGCTAACTGCTGTAGAAGCTGTTATTTAGCCTCATAAAGCACTAGGGATAGCAATCCAGCTGCCCAGGAGTCTGCTGGCAGGCAGGCAGGCAGGCAGGCAGGCAGGCAGGCAGGCTTCCTGAACTGTTTATTACAGATAAAGGTTGGGTTCCTGGGCAGGTTTCTACTTTTATATATGGTTCAGCTGCTGGCATTGGCACCCTCAGTATCTCAGAGCCCATGTGCCCAATGTTTGCATTTCGAACACGTCAATCTGTTCTTGGTTTACCACCTCTGACATCAGGATTCTTTTTTTTAATTGATATTTATTGAGCTCTACATTTTTCTCTGCTCCCCTCCCTGCCTTTTCCCTTACCCCTTCAACCCTCCCCCAAGGTCCCCATGCTTCCAATTTACTCAGGAGATCTGGTCTTTTTCTACTTTCTACTCCCCATGTAGATTAGATCTATGTAAGTCTCTCTAAGTGTCTGCATTGTTGTCTAAGTTCTCTGGGATTGTGATTTGTAGGCTGGTTTTCTTTGCTTTATGTTTAAAAACCACCTATGAGTGAGTACATGTGATAACTGTCTTTCTGTGTCTGGGTTACCTCACTCAAAATAATGTTTTCTAGTTCTATTCATTTTCCTGCAAAATTCATTGTCTCCAGTGAGAAGTCAGGTGTAATTCTGATAGGTCTACCTTTATATGTTACTTGGCCTTTTTCTTTTGCAGCTCTTAGTATTCTTTCTTTACTCTGTATGTTTAGTGTTTTGATTATTAATTATGTGGCAAGAGGACTTTTGTTTTTTGATCCAATCTATTTGGTGTTCTGTAAGCTTCTTGTATCTTCATAGGCATATCTTTCTTTAGGTAGGGAAAGTTTTCTTCTATGATTTTGTTAAATAAATTTTCTGTGCCTTTGAGTTGAACTTCTTCTCCTTCTATACCTATTATTCTAAGTTTTGGCCTTTTCATGGTGTCCCATATTTCATGGATATTTTGGGTTAAGCTTTTGTTAGATTTAATGTTTTCTTTAACTGATGAGTTTTTTTCCTCTATTGTATCTTCAGCACTTGAGATTCTCTCTTTCATCTCTTGTATTCTGCTGTTCATGCTTGAATCTGTGGTTCCTGATCTTTTTCTCATGATTTCTGTTTCTATAATTCCTTCGGCTTGTGTTTTCTTTATTGTTTCTATTTCAGTTTTCAAATCCTGGATAGTTTCTTTTATATGTTTGATTTCTTTTTCTTGGTTTTCTTTAAGTGATTTGCTGATATCTTCCAATTTTTTGTTTTGTCTTTTACTCCATTTCTTTAAGGGAATTTCTCATTTCATCTTTAAGAGTTTCAAACATTCTCTTGAAGTCAGTTTTTAGGGTTGTTCAGTTCTTGTTTTTGTAGGGTCTTTAGGTTTTACTGGTGTGGTGTTGCTCTTTGTGGTATAGTGTGTGATCTTACCTTTTCTATTCATCTTTTCCTCTAATAGGTGTGGTTGGGGCTGTCTGAGATTCTCTTGAATAATCTTCTAGGTGCCAGTGAATCCAAAGCTCAGATGGTTGTTCCTTGTGGTACAGTCAGTGTCACAGTTCTAGTTATACCATTGATTACTCCTGTTCCTGGAGATAGCTCAGCGCTCCTGTGTTTTGCTCTGCTCCCTTGGAGTTTGCTGTCTCAGGCCTACTTTGGCCTAGGCTGCTGGCTTTGATCTCTTTCTGTAAATCGTGGTCTGGATCCCCTCCTGTAGAAGTCCCTGGCTTGGAGTTGAACCTGTTCTGGTAGAGATCACTGACTCTGAATCTGGTCACTGGCTCAGTCCTGATCCCCCAGTATCCTGGGACTGGGTTGTCTTCTGGGACTGGATTTGCTCCTGGCTTCTGTTCCCAGTGGAGCATGTTTCCTCAGACCCTCGCTGTCCTAGGGGCTCATTCAGTTACACTCCAGTGGGATTTGTTGCCCAAGGTGGAGTTCCTTACCTCAGGGCAACTTTGGCCTAGGTTACCTGCTTTGACCTGTATCTGTAAATCCTGGTCTGGATTTCCTCCTGCAGAAGTCCCTGGATTGGAGTTGGACCTGGAAAGGTTTCAGGTCCTGGTCTAGTGCCTCAGAGGTCCCAGGCTCGGGTGCGCCTGGACCCACAGAGGACCTGCTTACTTCCTCAGAGGTCCCAGACTCATGCTGGGAGACCTGCAGAGGTTCCAGGTTCCTGCCTATTCCCTTTGATGTTCCAGACCAATGCCTAAATCCACAGAGGTCCTGGCTCAGGCCTACTCTCTCTGAGGTCCCAGACTCACACCTGGCCCCACCGAGATCTCTGGTTCCTGCCTATTCCCTAGAAGGACCCAGGTTCACTCACGCCCAGACTGACAGAGGTCCTGGCTCAGGCCTAGTTCCTGGGAGGTCCTAGACTGACGCCCAGACCCACCAGGGTGTTGTCTTAGGTCTATTCCCTTGAAGGTCCGGACCCCCAAGCAGTCTCTAGCTCTGGCTCACTCACTCAGTGGTTACTCCCCTCCCCGTACCTGTTCTGGTGGAGACCGTTGACTCTGTAGCTGGTCGCTGACTCAATCCTGTTCCGCCCACGTCCCAGGACTGGATTTGCTCCTGGCTTCTGTTCCCAGTGGAGCGTGTTTCCTCAGACCCTCGCTGTCCTAGGGGCTCATTCAGTTACACTCCTGCGGGATTTGTTGCCCAAGGTGGAGTTCCTTACCTCAGGGCAACTTTGGCCTAGGTTACCTGCTTTGACCTGTATCTGTAAATCCTGGTCTGGATTTCCTCCTGCAGAAGTCCCTGGATTGGAGTTGGACCTGGAAAGGTTTCTGGTTCTGGTCTACTGCCTCAGAGGTCCCAGGCTCCTGTGCGCCTGGACCCACAGAGAACCTGCCTACTCCCTCAGAGGTCCCAGACTCATGCTGGGAGACCTGCAGAGGTTCCAGGTTCCTGCCTATTCCCTTTGAAGTCCCAGACCAAAGCCTGAACTGAGAGAGGCCTGGCCCTGCTGAGATCTCTAGTTCCTGCCTATTCCCTCAGAGGACCCAGGTTCACTCACAACATCAGGATTTCTTACAATTAAACATGGCCAAGTGGTAGAGGAAGGACTTGCCACAGCGTCTGTGTGAGCACCAGCCACACTGAATTAAGTGTCAGAGGCTGGGAAGAATGTTCCCAAACAACATGAAAGGTGCTTGGAGTGGCTCAGTGGTACATCATGTGCTTACTACATACAAGGCCCTGAGCTCAGTCCCCAAATACTAAAAACAAACTAAGAAAGAAATAAAGAACTCATAAGAAATCCTACATCCTCCAAAGTGTGTGGTATAACAAAGAAACATTGTATGGAAAGCCCACAGACACCAGAGACTGAGCAGAAACATTCTTCAGCAGAAAGTAACTAAAACGGTAATAAAATATTATTATTGTTATTATTTGGAGGATGTGCTGGCCTTGAACTCCTAGGATCAAGCAGCAACATTCCTGCCTCAGCCTCCTTGGTAGCTGGAACCCCAGGCAAGTCACCATGCCTGGCTAGGGAATCTTCACTTACGCCTCTTTTATCTTCCTCCATGTGTTCACAAGGATGGATAATAATAATAAATCTTCCCAAATAAACCCTCTTAAAATC